TCCACGAAATAGGAATTAAACCTAGCAGGAGTAATCAAGAGGGCTTGTTTGCTCTGTGCCTTGAATCCCCACTCATTAAAGGATACAGCAGCATAAAACTATGCAACTTTCAAGACAACAAAGTAACCTGCACCGCTTTTCCAAGTTTGACGTGTCAAAAATTAAGTTTATTTTGAATAAGCTTTCCTCTCAGATCTTTGCCTCTGTCTTCAAAGGCTTCATCTCCTGAGCTACTTCACAGAGACAGCATGCTACAGATCCCCAGTGACCCAGATAGCAGCTGCATTCCAATTCCTACACCTGCCTTTTTCTCAGCCTGACAGCAATTCTGTGGATGTTTCTCCATAGCAATTTGCCTTTGATGATGTACTCTCTGCCAACACATCAACAAGAAGTAAGGAAACTTCAGCAAAACAAACAAGAGCCACAAAAACTGCCACCTTGCAATAGAGAGCTTCCTGCCATCATTCCTCACTTCCCCCCTGCCCCTTCTCACCAGGTAACCCTGGGGCCTGTTTCAGTGAGAGCTCAAACACTGGCACTGTCTGGCCTTGTCTCTCAGCTCTTTATAGTGCTTTTTTCTTTTTTTTTTTTTCCATGTGTGTTTTACCATGGAAAACCCTAAACTCCTCCTCTTCTTGCATTGCTAAGTCTTAGATCAGCACAGAAAGCTAAGACACACAGGCTCCAATAAATCAGGACAAGTGTAAGTGTTGCATTCTTCCTCACCTAGCTGAAAAAAACACTACTGTAAAGAGGCTGAGAATCCTGGGAAAACTGAACAGCAAACCAAAGGACATTTTTTGAGCTTGTTTCCATAGGTGGAGTTAACTGCTTGCACTAAACCATTTTGCTGGGGTGTGTATGTCACACTTCTAACTTGAATATAAACTTTTTCTCTGACATCAATTATATGCCCAAATCCACAGGATGAGAAGGTTGTGTCAAACAATGCCATTTGTGACCAGAAGCCCCTAGTTAGACAGCCCTGACTTCTCGAGCAGCAACTGTATCCTACATAATCACTCAGCCATGAAAATTACTGAATCTCCTTCTTTCCTGGAATGCTGAAGGATCTCCCACACAGTTTTTAACTCCTCACTCCTTTTCTTGGGGTAGCTGAGTGCAGCAAAAGTTCCAAGCCAAAACTGGATTTGTTGCTGCCATACTAATCCCCAATCCAGTGATTATGGAAAAAGTAGGACCAGTACTTTGTCAGTAGACTGACAAACAGGTCAGTCACACTGCACTGTGTTTTGGGAGTTTTTTAAGTGCATTATTATGTATTACTGCTCAAATTCAAACCCAGTCTAACATAGCAAGCTATCATATCTTCTGAGTTTGTCAACAATCACATATTTATCCCATCTGTCTCAACAAATAGAACTAACTCCATAAACACACATAGCAATTCCAATTCTCCCCTCTCCTTTGTTCAGCACCTCTGCTAGCTGCCACTGCTTTTGAATTTCGTCCCACACAACCAAGCTCATCTTCCCATCCTATGCAAATCCATCTGCCTAAAAGAAAATATAAAAAAACCCCCAAACAAACAAAAGCAAACAAATAAACTGAATTTCCCCCTTAATTCTGGAATGTGAGGCAGATTGGGAATGGTCTACAACAAATAGCATGACGTCTTTTCTTGTTCATGCTGGGATTACAAAAGGTACAGGGGACTACCCCCAGCACAAAACATGCAGTTATATGAAAGAAACTTGAAGAAACAACACTTTTTTTTTTTTTTTAAAATTCCATCATTAAGACACTGTATGTCATCCCATGTGCTGTCTATATGTAATGTGACAGTTTCCACTTACACAGTTGCCTCTTTTTTTTTTTTTTTGCAGAAGCATCTTGTTCATTCAGTACATGTCAGACCTGACACAGAACCGATGCAGATAAGTATACTTATTCAATTAGTGGTCTCTGCTCTGTTTAAAGCACAATATCTATATTATAAAGAGAATAATAATGTGCCACATCAGAATATCCCATGAACACTAAAGAACACAGCCCTTGTCTCCTGTTAAAAATGCATCTCAATAAAGACAAAGGGAACACAGAAAACAAAACCAGATTTGCCTGGATCAAAGCCAGGACTATAATTTACTGAATTCCATGCTCAAGCCTGCTGACCTTAATGTTGAATATTCAAAGCTCCCAGAGACTTCTCTTCAACTGCTCCTGCACAGAGTGCAGATTCCTAAACTGCCACACAGAAAATGGAGAAACTCACCATGATGAAGGAAGAATCAAGGCATGTTCTCCACTTCAGCAATCACCACCCTACCCAGACAGGCCTGTCTCTCTCTCTATCTCCAAATTTATTATTATTTTTTCTTAAAATCTGTAAGAATGCCTGTATCTGTCAGAGAACATGAGTCAGAGTAGCTCCATGAACCGAGTCCCTCTTGTACATGTTCTCTGCCTCATCATAAAAATTTATTTCTCTTGGCAACAGTAAGTTTGCAGTTGTTTTTAAGGGAAAAGGAAGAGATGAACAAAAAGCCCTGCTCAGTGGTGATGTGCAAACTACCTTCTCCCTGCTGCACTGAGACATCAGGAGAAGAGCGTACACTCCAAACCTTGGCACACACAGCTGTGCTGACCTCAGCATCTCTCCTCAGACAGCACAATAATGACACTGGCAGGAGTCAGTTAATCCAGGGGGGAATTGATCTGTAAAACGGTATAATGAGCTTTGACAGAACAGGGACATCGATACAGGGACACACAACAGATGACAGAAGGTTGTGAACTCCCAGCCTTAGCTCTGCACCTTCCTCAGTTCAGGAGGATAAGCCTCCTTTGCTTTAGCAACAATGGGGTCACAAACACACTGCCTAAATCCAAAATCAGACAGACTCCTCCTTACTTCCAGAAGCCACTGCGTGCCTGGCAGTTCCCAGGGCAGGAGCTGCAGCTGCTGCAGGAGTGGCCTCTTCAGAGCATTTCCCTTAGGGATTACCCTGCTGCCAGGCTGCTGCTGGAAAGGCCATTTATCCTGCCTACCTTACAGCTGTAAGCCACCAGATGATGATTTCACTTAAAAAGACATTCGTATCTGTTAAATACATATACCTGGAGTCAGGCTCCTCTTCTAAAAGATGTTCAAAAACGTCAATAAAGCAAAAACTACTTACATGTTTTACTGCAAGAAAATCTCACAAAAGACAAAGGTGCTTAGCAGCTTCTTCAGAATAATAAAACCTTCAACAGCAGTAATCAGCTAATCTTTTTAAAAGATTGGTTTTCTTTTTTTTGATTCTTATAACAGAAACAATTAATCAAAGTCATTTAGAAATCCAGCCAACAAGTGAAATGAAGCTTTAAATGTATTTAAGCATAAAGAAATGCTCACGGCCAACTCAAGTGATAATTTTTAACGGTCATGAACTGAGACCAGTCATGACAGCTGTGTACTACAAGACACTTCTGCACTCTCAGACCTCAAAAACAAGCAAAACAAGCAAATAAAAGAAAGCAGCAGCAGCAACCAGGTATGTGGGTCTGCAACAGCAACCCCAGCAAACCAACAGCATCACTAACAAAGACTTGGGCCAGGGCTGGAGGCAATACTGGAATGGAGCTTCTTGAAAAGAAATCAATACCTGAAACCAAAGAGGATCACTGCATTACAAAAATTGTGCTTTCTTTTTTTTTTTTTTTTTTTTTTTGCTTCTCAATTTTTAATGAGCAAAATGTTCACTGTGCAAGTCAGAAATGCTGCCAATGCCTTTTAAGTGGGGGTTGCTGGTGAATAATGGTGTACTCTACTAAAAGCATGGTAAGAAACAAACTAATGAAAAATCACCAGTTCAAAAGGAAAAACAGGACCAGAGATGTTCTTCAAGAGCTCAAAGTTCTACAGTTTAAATGTTTGGAAAAGAAAGGAAATAACAAACCCCCCAAAAACCCCAAACCTACACAAGAAAGAAACCGATAAGCAAACCAAGGCATTTCAAGAGTGTATCAGGAAAAAATTAAGCCTGTTCATATTCTAGTTACTTGTTCTAAATCTTTAATAAATTACAAGCAAATACCATAATTTAATAGCTTCGATTATATTTCCTAATTAACACACATACTTTGGCAGCTTCGCAAACTGGCTTCAATTCAGCAAAATATTAACCATCTGCCTAAAGCTAAGCACATTTTATACCTTCTTGAAGTCAACCAGAAAGAGAAGCATGCATATATGTTAAAAACGAAACACATGCTCTAGTGATATGCCCAAACGCAGCCTTGGTGTTAAAGGGTCTTAAATAATTCATGCCTGAAACCATCTTGAAATTCTTCGGCAAAAGAAAAACACTGGGTTTATCCTAATTTGAGCCACTAAACTTCAAGATATACACATATTTTTTAAACTCAAGGGACAGAACGGACACCTTATCACTTGCTTTACTCTTGCAAAGGGATAAAGTCAGATATTTGACCGCATCACCAAACCCTAACACTGAAATAATCATATCATTTTGATACTGTTCGATAAATGATGTATTTCTCCGTTCTGCAGAAGGGATGCAAAAAACTAATGAGCTCACCAGCCCCATCGCTCACTTGACAGGCTCGAGACTGGCTTGCACACGTATGAGTTGGTTTATTTTTTTTCCCCAGTGATATAAATATAGAAACAAATATATGAATACTATATATATATATATATACACAGACACCTTGCTGTGGTGACTACCGCGAGCCAACAGGAATCCCTGGCGCCCCACCACTCGAGGTCACTCTCCCGGCGCCCGGGGGCGCAACCCCATCCAGAGCACTGCCCGGTCGCCAGGGCCACTCCCGGCCACCCCCCATCCCAGCGTGGCGGCAGCGAGGACGGGTCCCGTTCCATTCACCCCCAGCGGTTCACTCCGGGGTGCGGGACCGCCGCCCGCCCCCGGCCCGGCCCGGCCCACGGCCGCCGGTTCCAGGGGCGAGCGGGGAGAGCAGCGCCACTGTGCTCGGGGAGGGCGGCACGGAGGGCAGGGGGTCGGTACCTGAGGCGGCGGCGGGGGCGCCCCCGGGCAGCGCCGCCCGCTGCTGCTGCAGGCGGGGGGCGGCGGCGGCGGCGGGGGGAGGCCGCCCCGTCAGCAGCAGCAGCATCAACGCCGGGAGGAGCGGGGAGAGGCGCCCGCAGGGGCCCGGCATGGCGAGCAGCCCGCGGGCAGCGGAGGCATATTGCGGGAGGCCGACGGCTCCCGCAGCTCCGGCGGCCGCGGCACCGGCACTGCGGCGGCGGCGGCGCCGCCCGCCCACGGACGTGCCGGGGCGGGGCCCGAGGCGGGCGGGGCCGCTGAGAGCAGGGGAGGGCCGGGGAGGGGAGTCCGCGTTGCTGGGAAAATCACCCCCGTCGTGCTCGTCTTCCGGGAAGCGGCAGCGTTCGCAGCGGGCCCGGCGCTCCTTGCCCGGAGCGAGGCGCGGGTGCAGCCCCTGGGCGGACAGGACGCGTTGCGGGGCCGGCGCTGCCACGTGGCAGCTCGGAAAGCGCCCCTGCTCTGGCGCCGGCGGTCACATAACCCCAGGTTCTCAGGATCATACGATCTGTCAGGTCGGGAAAGACCCTCGAGATCAGGAAGTTCAAACTGGGACTGACCACCATCTTGTCAACCACTGAGTGCCATGTCCAGTCTTTCCTTAAACACCTTCAGCGGCGGTGACTCTTCCACCTCCCTGGGCAGTCCGTTCCAGTGTTTAATCACCCTTTCCGTGAAGAAATTTCTTCTAATGTCCAACTTAAACCTGCCCTGGCGCAGCGTTAGACTGTGTCCTCTCGTCCTGTCTCCTGTGAGCAGAGCCCGATGCTCACCTGGCTACACCCTCCTGTCAGGTACTTTAGAGAGTGACGAGGTCCCACTTGAGCTCCTTTTCCCCAGGCGAAACACCCCCAGCTCCCTCAGCCGCTCCTCATCACACCTGTACTCCACACCCTTCCCCAGCTTCGTTGCCCTTCTCTGGACTCGCATTCAGGAATATCCCCCCACTCCGATTTTACCCACGTGCATTCGTTATCCTAAGATATGTGCAATGTTTGACATCAGGACTGTTAACGGGAGTAAACATCTAAGTAAGGTGCAGAGATGCCTGTGCGGAGAATCAAAGTTTGAGGAGACACAAATATGGTTATGATGTCTGTCAGTGTCACAGAACTGGGGGATACTAAATTTTTAATGTATGTTTGAGTAGTGAATATAAACTTCTTCGAAAAGTGTAAGATCACTTGATTTGCCTTTTCATAAAACAAAGACTAGCCAAGTAAAATTTTTTATTTTAGACACAATAACATACTAGGCTGAATTCTGTAGTTTTCAGACTGCCCAACATTTCTTCATTGCAGGAAAAAAAGAGGAATAGAGTTACAAACTATAGAGGAGTACAAATTTTCCCATACTGAAAGGAAAAACTGCCGAGTTACTGTGCACATTTCCAACACATCTGCCATAAAACCTAAAACAAAAAAAAAAAAAAAGAGGAAACTAATGTATTTTTCCTTACAATGTTATTCTGAACAGTACAATATAATTGATTCATTGCCATTAACAACAACTTCAAATAGATTTGGGATTGGCATAGGAAATACAATTCACTTTTATTGCAGGTGCTGATGGTTCACTGGAACCATTTGGGGACTGCTGAAGCGTGGCCTGACCTCCCCCATTTGTGCACTGTGAATCATCACTGCTCATGGGGTGATGCTGTGGTGGGAAACCTGCACCCTCCTCAGCAGGTACTTTTCAACACTTTTCTTTATTGTCAGTCTCACTTTTCTTCATCATCACCAAAAAAAAAAAAAAAACACCTTTGCCATAAAAACCTGATTGCATTTGACAGGACCTTGCTTGAAAGAAAGTAAAAGAGCAGAAAACCCAGACAATCATTTACTTGGTGTGGAATTCCTCCAGCAGCTCACAAAGAGCAGAAATTCTTTTTTTTCTTTTTTTTTTTTGTTTAGCAAACATGCTCAGTGCCTGTTTGCCTAATTAACATCCTCTCCCCCAGCTTCCTATTTCAACCTTTTATCTGGGCACTGCAAAGAAAAAACATCTGTTTCTGCACAGCCATTGTTACAACTAAATTAATTTTGGACTCCCTGCAACATTGTGTGGTCTCAGGTAGAGGAAAAGGGTCTACAAAAAACCTGCTCATGCTTCGAGCCATTTGCTTCCTTTGTTTATGAATCTGTCTGATGAGTATCTGTGGTACTGAGAAATACATTGAGAATATCACATATATGTTCATTTCCAAATGCTTTCAGACTTGGGCTTTTAATAAGATAAAAGTTTTTTTGAGAGGAATAGTTGTACCAACTCGGCAGCTGGAACATTTTAAATTAAAGTTGATGACATGAATATGTGCAATTATTTATTTATAAGGGTCTGGGAGGAAAAAAAAATCTTTAATGTTTCATTGAAACTCTTGAAAATGGCTGCAAAAGGGGAATAACACATATGAAAATTAATTGTTTGTACTATATTTAGATCAATGACAAAGAAAAATTAGAGGACACAGTAATGCTCATTTCAGCAAAAATATAATCAAGATTACGTTTTCTTAACCAAATTTTCTTTGAAAAGAGGTGAAAGCTGATAGTAAGTAATTTATTTCAACTACCTGAGTATTTCTGTGTTCTTAAAAGTGCTTGAACTGGCAATTTACAAGCATTAATGTAGTAATGTCAGAAAGTATTAATTAATTTACAAACTAATTATCAAAGCATGCAGTAAAGTATCATACATGTATGCAAAGAGTCAGAATATAATTTGTGAACAGATCTTCTTTCTTGCTTATGGTTACAAAATTTTTTGACTCGGGGTTAATATGTGCCACTTGAGCTGAGAATGTAAAAGCTGTGTAAATGTGACCTTTCTGTATTGAGCAGATAACTGTAAATTACAAACATATACCACAAAATATTTGCTGGAGAATTAAATGCAGTTTTAAAAATACACCTAAGATTTAAACAAACAAACAAACAAACAAAACCAAACACAGAATTCCTGTTGATTAAGAGGTATTTTATTCCAAAATTCTAAAGATCAGAATCAAGTCAACGCTTACATTTTGCAATTTACCCAATCACAACATTTGGAAATTGTATACATACATAGAAAAATACAACCTAATAAAAACAATCAAATTTGCAGTAGGATGAAACAAATGGGTTGAAGGGGAAACCATAGCTTAATAGCTCTATATTTCATACCAGTACAAAATTACAGTGCCACAATACCCATTTTTTTTCACACTTTATAATTTAATACAAAATAAGGTGACTTCAAAGGTGTATTGCTCTCCTTAAATGTACCAAAGACCTTGGAAACAAGTTCAGAGTAACTGAAAATATTCCCGTTTATTTTACAAGTATTTACTATGTGACTAAGGAACAGAAAATGCAGCACTCTTATTGTTAGTGTGTTAAATTCCTGCTTGTGCAAACAATGCTCTTCTGATTTAATGCACGAGCAAAAACAAACAAAAAAAAAAAAAAAAAAAGGCAAAATAATTCCATTACAAAGAAATAAAATGTTACACGTTCAGCATATCTGTATAATAGCAAACACAGGTTTCCTTTATGGACTAGAAAAGTAAAACCTGTCCAAGTTCTTTGAAGATTCAAATGCTACGTTGAATCTTCAATCACTTTTGCAAAAGCCGAAGGGTCAAGTTGCTCAGCTTTAATGCAGCATATCTTGAGAAGGTCATTGCATGAAAGGTTAGATTTCCTGTGTTATATTAAAATCCTACACAGTGGGAAAAAAAATACACCAAAATCCTAAATACCATAATCACATGAAACAGCAGTAACATTACAGATTCCAAACCACTGTTGTGTAGCCTCGAGTCAAACTTTCCACAATGGCCTAAACTGTGCCAGCTCGCAATAACCCAAGAATTACTAATGGATGCACTTGAGAATATACATCATGTTTCACCCAATGTGGGCGATCAAAAACATCCTATTCCTTTCATTTCTCACCTCAGCTGGACACACACTGGTTTTGTTTGTCCTTACAGACACTGACCACTGTGAGCCAACAAATGCTACGTCCCTTCTTAGGCAGACAAAAATGACCAGCTGGGCAGAGAACTAGATCTGCTCATGCTGTGTTGCATGTGGGAATCAGAACCTCAAGACTCAGTACCAGAAGAGTTCAGATCCCACCCACCTCCACGAGATGCAGCACATGATCACGAGCCAAGCTGGCATTTGGTCCTGACAGAAGGCCACTGCCGAGGGATAACCAGCAGGCTCTTCCCATCTCACAGCCGAACAAACCACGGCCTTTGCTGTGAGGCTCATGCAGGGTCTGCCATGAATTTTGTGTTTGCGTTTCCATTTTGCTTTTATAAAATCCTTTTTTTTCCCCCCTCCTCTCATTAACAGCCAGCAGCACTGAACACAAAGGATCATGTTAATCTGGACCAAAGACAAAATCTGACTCAGTTGTCACCAGGGTGATGCTGCTCTGTGGCTGTGAGGGTGTAGGGAAAAAAGTACTGTCAGGGCAACCAACAGCAAAGCCAAATGTTGCACAAATGTCAGTGCAACGTGAATCCTTCCACACCAAGAGCATGCTCACTGTGGCCGAAATATTTTCAATATACCCACGACAGGCTACCTTAAAGATTATTTAAGTGTGGACACAAGTTTAGAAACAACTAAATATTTAAAATATTTCCTTGGAATAAATGCTTTATAAAGAAAGAGCACACATAATAGACTTTCTTAAAGTTCCCACAAACACTACGTGAATCAAAGTTCAACATGTAAATCAAGATTTAAAACAGAAAAATGCGACAAAATTAGGAACTTGATACAAAAATTTCCTCAAAGATTTCAAATTATGTTGATAAACATAGCCCATACTTGATTTTACAGTCACGCTTAAGAAAAAGCTATCTCCACAATTTCATAGCTTCTTGAAAGAGATGTAAACCTATAAATTAGAGTTCCTTGCTTTACATTTGCAAAATATTGTCAAATATAGATAATACACATTTTGTAATACAAATCACTTCACTGACCATGAGATGCTGCAATAATTGCAAACTAGAGTACTTTTATAAATTCATATTCCATTATAAAAGATATAGCTCTTTTAAAATGTTTTTATTGCCTAGAGAATTACATAGCTGTAGATTTTATATTCATAAAAAATATGCTTCTGAAACATAACTCTCAAAAGAAGGCTAATTTTCTGTTACTATACTTGTATTTTTTTTTTAAATGCTTTCAGTATGCATCTTATGTACATCAATTTTGACTCAAAGGCATTCACTTCACTCCAAAATACATTTTTTTAAAGTTTCTCTAAAAAAAATTTAACATCATTCTGCAGTATTTGCTATGAGAATACATCATGGCCTGTGAGTCAGTATGAAATTTATACTGACCTGAGCACATACAAAGCCTGGAATCTTATTGCTGAACGTTTCCCGCACCCCCACTCAGGAAAACTTCCAGTTCTGGACCTCCCTGAAGCACAAATGTTACTTTAAACTGAATTTGGGGGTTTTTTACATCTAATTTTCACTAACTAACCTGGACACTCCACTTACTCACCTTACTGTGGGGATTTTAAACCAAGCCAGAAATCAGCGGATGTGGGAGAAGCAACTGTTTGCTTTTACTCTCCAGCAGAATGCAAGAAATAAAAACCCCTTAAATAAGTACTACTTTATGGGACTTCAGAAATGGAAGGAACTTTCCATGGCTACAGTAGTTGTACCAATAAAATGTACCTTTTTCATCCTGAAAGTTGGCAAAATGAGTTTCCAGTTTGCAGAGTGCAATGACGGTGCAGTTGGCACTGGCATTGACAATGCTACAGTGCCCCTTCCCTGTAAGCTGGAGAGATCTCCATCATGCTTTCCTAAAAGAGGGTTTTAATCTCCTTATAACGCCTAGACATGCAAGTAGTCCCATAAATTTCAAGTCAGCATGGTGCATACATGTAACGAAAGCACACATGTAAGAGTTAGAGCTATAATCTGTCTGACAGTCTTTCAAAACCTCTTAACCTACTAAGATTAAGGCTGGGTAAAACCAATCTCCTCGATAATCAGCTGACAGAGTGTGTGAACTACAAGCCCGTGTTTAGGGAGTGAAATGCTGTTCTACCAAAGACACATTTTGAGGCCAGGATTAAAGCCCCACTCCTCATTCTTTACTATAAAACTAGTAACAATCCTAAAAGTAAAGAAAAAATAAAACACTGGCCTCACTGAAGACCTTGAAAAATCAGTTAAAATTATGCCCTACGGTCTTTCAAATAAAGTAATTATATCTAAACAAACTGTCTAAAACAAACCCATGTAAATGGATAAATAGGCAAGTCCATATCTGGTGTTCATACTGGCCCCCAAAGGCTTTGTGCTGTCTTCCTTACGGACTCAGATGCCATCGTGGTTCAGCGAGTAAGAATGGACTGAAGAGCAAAATCCATTTGTGTATTTTAAATCTCTGAAAGGATGCAGAAATAAGACTTGAATCGAACTGTTCATTTCAGATAATTCTGGGTTTAGCAGGATTTGCTGTATTCACGGGGGAGATGCAGCTTTGAACAAAAACCCCAAGTTACAAAACCAAACCAACCAGACTTTTTGTCCTTTTAAGAGCTTGTCTACATAGAAGTCTCGGTGGTGTAAATCCAGGAGAAGACTTCCTTTGTGTATGTGGCTGCACACAGGGAGTTAATAATGTAACTTATTGCCAAAAGGGAATTATGTTTATAATTATATTATAAACATCTCACAGAGGGCACCTTTGTAATAGTTAAATATGTCCACTCTAAGATCTGTGGAACACAGTTACCCATGGTTGCAAGCTGAGCCACCTCCTAATTTGCAGTTACTTGTCCACTGAAGTGCATAGACAATATTCTTGTGTTCTCTCAGAAGTGCAAGAGGCTTCATTTTACTACGCCAGCGGTGAGGGAAGTGGGCTAAGAATGATGTAAGCCTGTGCTTTTCAACCACTGGACTGTCAGCAAGTTTGAAAAAAAAAACCAAAACTAAAACAAAACAATGAAACAAAATATTTAGTGTCTTTTCTGGTAATGAAATGTATTGAACATAATGAAATGTCTTGTGCAATGAAATGTCTGTGGTGCAGTGGAACACACAATGAATGAGTGAAATGAAACAAGCCAAATCAACCTTCCCTTTTCAAACCCTTTCGCGTTGCCAGCTCTGCTTTGCTTCGCTTGACAAGCTCACTGACTGCTCTCTCAGGGCAGGAGGCAAGGCAGGTGTGAGTGTGGCTGGCAGATAGCCTAGTTCAAAGAGTCCCTGTGTTATTCCATCCTGTACTTGGGCGTGGCCAACCACAAAATGTGAGAATCAACAACAGCTCCCGTAGGGTGGCACCAGGTAACCTGTCACAGAGTATTCCCTCCACTGCCAGAACCTGAAACTCAATCCAAGCAACGTACAGACATCATTTCAAACCCTGGGGAGGTTTGTCCTGTGGAAATTCAGGCTATGGGTTTTTGGCAGCCACAATCCAACATGTTGTCCCTGGCAGAATGTGAATGCGTCTGTGCTGCCAAGAATTCTGTGCAACACCTGGATCCTGCTCTGTGGAAATACACAGCAGAGTCTTTGGATCTTGCCCCGAATTTTCTCCCTAGGTCCCATAGAAAGGACATCAGCCCCAGCTTTCTATTGCTCATTTTGTGTTTGTAGGCTCAATCCCCACAGTCAGAAACCCAGGACCTGGAGAACAGTATTTGTAAAGCCTAGAGGGAAACCACAAGACAGACCACTGAGAAGGCAGGGGAGCAAGTAAAGAATAGGTATCAGCTGGGAATGATTCCACTGAATATTTCATATTTTTTGAGGAGGAGAAAAAATTGTCATCAGACTTAATGGGTCAAAGAACATTCTTCAGTTCTGTAAAACAAGCTACATTCATTTTTTTGTGCAACTAACTTTGAACAGCTAGAAAATGAAATGTAGTGTACTCAAAGGAAAACCAACCAAAACCAAACATATCATCCAACAAGTATCTATGGAAGCTGTTGGCTTCAAGAGCAAATGCAGAATCCACGGAGAAATTCATGGAAAGTTGGTACATGAACCAAAAAAAAAGAGGATGTCTCCTGTGTCCCAGTGAGCGAAGTCAAAGCACTGCATACCAGGTGAGCTTTCCACACAGCAGTCAGTGCAGCTGCATTAGTTGCAGGTGCAAACAGGATTAATACAAAAAGGAGGATTTAAATATATTGCTCTTATTTTGCAGGTGCTGATGCCGAGGCCAGCAGCTCTGCAGTTGTGAGTGTTGTTTTTGGGTTTTTTTTTTGCTGATGGGGAAGCCAATATTTGTAACCAAGACGTAGGCAGTTTTAAATTTGAGAATGTCTTACAGATAAAACTCTGCTTAAGCTTCTGATGTTCCTTCCCCATTCTCGTGTGGTTGCAGTTGTTCTCTTTCTTGTTCTTCCTGAGGTGGCCTTACACGTTTGAAAAAGCCCATCTGTGATTCAGAGAATAAAGAAATTGCATGGTGATTTGCCAAACATACACTTCCTTTCTCTTCCCTCCTTAACTGATCACATTATTTTTATTTCCTACTCTTTTTTCCTCATTTTTGACCTCCAAAGGCAGTAAATATTAAAAATTAAACCAAATAAGCCAGCACAGTCACAGACATCCTCTTTTATTCACCTTCTTCCTGACAAAGCTGAAAAGCCTTTAGTTATCCAAAAACTTAACTGGTCCAGATGATTAGGGGACCAAGGTATTTCTGCAACCTGCTGGCACTCTAAGAAATAACTCATCATAGAAGGAAAAAAACAGACACCACTTACCCTGTACATAACAAACACTAGAACAGCCAAGAGCAGTAACCCTGCTAGGACAGCCAAAATTATAACCCACACAGGCACCGGCATAGGCTGTGGTTGAATACCCCAGGTAATATTTGTGGTAACCTGACAGAGAAACACAATAAATTGTGTTATTAACATCTGATTAATGGTGACATAAAGATTTGGCTGACCCAAGTTTAACAGGATTTTAAAATTAAATGAAAACAGGGGGCTGGGGTTTGTTTGGTTTGGGTTTGCATTTTTGCAATAACGTGGCAGCATATTTTCTGTAATGCTTGATGATTTTCAGTAAAACTGTAGGAATCTGGGAATATTTGGGAGTTAGAGAAAAATAATTCAGGGCTGTTTGTTTGTTTGTTTTCTTAAAAGGTGGTATTGTTTGAAACAAAAATCAACTCCACAAGGCTTATGAGAGAAAAAAACCCCAGTTAATAATATGCATTATGATCCGCAGTAAAAAATAAATCCATCACAATCCTTTTCAACCTTTTTCTTAGGACCTTTTAATGCTACAGTGCTTACCAAAAACTTTTAATTGGGCAGCCCAAGCAAATGGCCTATGTATTCCTGTCTGTTTGCACCCTGTCTGCTTTCTTTTGGAAACCCTCTGGGGCACAGATGCTCTTTTTGTTCTGCTTTTCCATAGTACATAAAATATAATAAAGGTCCATTATTCAAGCTCTCAGTGCTACCACAGTAGAAAACAAATTTCAAGTAAAATATTTCTCCAACAACAATGGAATTAAGAAGAACATTAGGACTGCTCACCATCATTTCATTTTCAATTAAGTCTTTCAAGATAGAAATATTGTCAACTCTAGTCTTAGCTTTACCCTCCACTGTATAACTGAAATTAATATATGAATCAAGCAGCTGGTAAAATTACAGTTATGCCAAGCCACAAAAATGCTACCCAACAATAGTTATTTTTGTATTAGTTTTTATGTGATAAGTTTTTAAGTGATTATGTATGGTAACTCAAGCTGGATGTAAATGACTTACTACTGTGGAGTTGTGGATATCTTCAAAGGAAAGGTTCTTATAAGGGAACTCGATAACGCTAAAAGAAGCAGATGATTTGAGGGAGTAGGAGTGATTCTGATTTTCTTTCTGTGTAAGAAAAACAAAATCAGTATTGCACATGGATACAAAAGTCACTTTTAATGTCTCCGAAACGGGGACAGAATATTCACGGTCACTCACGTTCATGAAAGTTTGGGTCCAAAGGCGGGATTTTAAATACAATATTGCACTCTTTCCCCTTTCCAGGTGGCCAACTTGACACACAATCTTTAAACAGTCAGCAGTTCCACAGCCCTGCACGTAAAAATAGGAAAGATATTTTAAGTATGAAAAGTCATTAATGGCAGTACATTTACTCAGTCACATTTACTTCACACACATACACACCCTATTGTCCTCTTCCCCTGGTAAAGGACCATCAGCTATTCCAATGCATTAAATAACCTGCAGTACCAGATAATTACTCACAGTTTGCAGTTAGAAAGACAGTGATATGGTGATATGTTTACTTCCTAGGACAGATTATTTCCAGCCTTGTTCAGACAGGCCAGCTCCTCCGTGTGCTGACTGCAGGGTGTTGTGGAATCAGCTGTGCTTTGGAGAAGAGGTGCTGCCTGAAGCGCTCCCCTGCTCCCTCCAGGTGCCCTGTTTTGCCAGCCTTGCTCCTTTAGGAGCAAGTTTGATTTTCAAACAGCTCCTCACAGAAGACTGTGCTGCCAACACCTGGGTGCTGGAACACGGAGATCTTACCAAGGTATGCACGTCCCCTTCAGCGGCAGCCAAATCCCTGCGGCTGATGCGATGGCCACGAGCATCTTCCCTGACAAGGGTGTCATTCTTATCGTCCTCCTTAGAAGCAGAAATCTAAAGGTGCACACCGAGGGAAACCCAAACAATAGATTAGACGGTTGCAAAACTGATATCAAGGAAGCGTGTAACTGCAGGTTATTTCTCTCCTGCTATCCTGGCTGTTCCTAAGCTGTAAATGAAGTGTTACTCCTGTCTTTTCTAGATCACTTATGCAAATTTATACCAGCAGCTAACACAGAACCTCAAGTATCTTAATTCTTCCTCAACTCAGAACTTTGTCATTGATATAAAAAAAGTTGCTCTTAGATGGCAACAGATAATTCAGTTTCACAATCTTTAGGACTTTTGCTCAATGTTTCAGTTTTTAACTCTGAAAACACAGCAGTACTATGATATTGATGTACAACATAGCACTAACAATGTATACATGTGATCAGAGACACTCAAAATCTTTTTTAACACGGGCTTGAGGAAGTGAACAGCAGGTTAATTAATTATTTCAGTAATCCCTTAGAAATTCCCAAAGCAAAATTACAAATTTACACATGGGACTAGGCAGAGCCATGCTCCTTGCCCTCTACATAACAAAACTATAGGAGAAAACTTGAAAGAGTCATAAAAAATATATTCTTGCAAATGGTATAGCAGAAGCACAGATTTTTATTTAATATATATATTCACTAAAGTTTCTTTCTGATTATCAAAGATACAAGAGTATTCTTTGTTGTTCTGTACATGGAATAGCTTCCCTGCTTGCTTAAATTCTTTTAGAACTAATGATTTTTACTACTTGTTCTAAACTGTCTTGGAATTCAGCTAAATACACTGAATTTTGAGGGATTTTGAGGGCTTACAAACCAACCATTCCAGTCCTGCTCACCTTAATTTTCAGTGGGTTGATCTCCATGTCCGACGTGCAGTTCATGGGCCCATCCATTTCATACTGGACAATATAGAGCAGCGTGTTGTTCTTGTACTTATAAGGCCACTGCAGTGTCATCATCACCTTGCTGAATGCACTTGGACCGTTATTTCTCAGCTGATTATGGAAATAAAGTTTACAGATGTAAAAAAAAAAAATAAAGCAAAAAAACCCAAAACACCAAAAACCCAACAATGCCACCTTCTCTGGTAATGTGCATGAAATTTGTTATTTGATATTTGAGCCATAAATAATAGTGCTCTCACCCCTTCCACATATCGAAATAGCATCAACAACTTCATCTAAAAAGCGGCAGCCAAACTTCAGTTCCCCAACAGGCAAAACTTCAAACTACTTCTGTAATTTGATAAAATGTAAACTGAAGAAAAGCTACATGGCATTAGGGTTTTTTGCCTTGAATTAATGTAATTTTTGGCTGATAAAACATGTTTTTTTTTTTTTAGTCTATTGGATGAATCACAGCCTGTACCTGCCTGAGCCAAGATAGTCTGAGCACAGATTCATACAACAGCAAGTTTCATCAGATAAATGGCCTCTTAAGTTCTAGGACAACTTTCAGCTATTACCATTCACACAGCTCTCGATAAGTTGTGTTTAATTAAACAATCTAGATTAAAGCTGGGATCATTCTCGTATGGAAATTTTAAATACTTGAACTTTCTCAAGGCAAAAAGACTTCACAAGAATGATTGAGAACAACTGGAGTACAAATGAGGATAACTCAATAATTTACAGCCATGAGCCATTTCCTGAGCAAAAAAAGTGACTTCAGGTGTTTTACCTAGAATTAAACAGCGAGAATGTGCAATTATGTAAGTAACCAGCCCCTTCTGTCTGGCCATTCCTGTTGCACCAACTGCAGGCATTCTACCCCTTCTTGCAGACAGCATTAAAAAAAAATAACACCTTTCCTTCCATGCAAGATGAAAATAAAGAAAAAAAATAAGTCACAATTTACTACAGAGGAAAACTCCACCAGAAGATTTCTTTTCATTTATCACAGAGCTGTGTCACTGGAGTTAGCAGCAATTCCCTACCTCATAAATATGCTGAACCAGAGGCCCAATATCATCTTCTGTTTCTGGGTTCTCCTTCGGCTGCCAGTTTGCAATAGGCAGGAATATGTGATCAGGAGATGACACACTGAACAGGGGAGCAAAGAAGCTGTTATTATCAGCTATCAAAGGATAAATATTATTCTCTAGAATATCTAAAAAAAAAAAAAAATCAAAATGCTTAACATACAACCTCCAACTTTTTTATCCTCATATAAAACCAGAAAAAACAGAAGCTGAGTGGTTTGAACATTCAAATTTTCAGTTTTCTTCTCTACATGAAAAGATTACCCTCGTATTTAGGAATATTTTTCCTGCCATAAAGTTTGCATTCATCCTGCAGCATCTAGGAAACCACTCCCAGAAATAAAAAAACATGCAGCTGAAAACACAAAGGATGGGTTTTTTTTCCTTCTAAAAATAATGTCTAGTAATGGAGGCACAACATTCCTTTTTGGAATTGTTTTTTAATTATATAAAATGATTTAAGATCTGAAAGTCCGAAGGGTGGCTAGAGAATACCATGTTGTCTTTCTGATTAAAAATTCCCTAAGCCTTCCTGAAAATTTATGCAGACCTGAAAGAAAGTTCAGTGAATATAAAGAAGAAAATGCACAAATCTCATAAAAATGTTTATTAAAATAGTATCAATGCTTACCCTCTGATTTCAACAGCTGCTAAAATAGCAAGGTCAGCCTGATAGAATGCTACTGGGCTTAGATTGTCATACAGGTTGGAACTGCAGGGAAAATAAAAGCTAATTTATTAAATAAACAAAGTATTTATTAAAAAAAAAAAAAAAACACACCTTAAAATAATTCTATGTACCCCAGAGAAGATCACTTCTTCCAAAGAGCTGGAGTCACCTGCCACTGGCACACCTTACTAGCTCATGGAAAACAGGGAACACAATTGAACAGGCAGCAATGGGAGATCCAAGACATATTTAATGCTGCCAAGGCCTTTCATTTATTTATACCATTAAGATTAAATGGTGGGTTGAAATTTATTTAACTCTTGTAGGTGAAAAATATGTCTGTGGATGAGAATAATTTAGTCACTACACTAAAAGAAAAAATGAAGCCCTAAAAAGGAAAAAAAAAAAGCTTTTAGTCCACCGTGGGGAAAAAACAAACCAGCTGAATTTGTACTGTCTACTGAGCAACATAAAACTGTACTGGGTAAAGATACTCCTAATCATCACATCTCCAAATCTTAAACATCATCTCCAGAAGGTATAAACTCAGGTTTATATATCCTATTCTTATGACAGTGCTGTTCTTATCTGATAATTACCGTGAACACAACTCTTCCTCTCCATTTAATGGTCAGACTCTTCTATGCTCTCTATTGTGAGGGTCCAGTACTCAGACCACCCTCTCATCCTCAAAATCTACTGAAATGTGAAATTCTGGCTTTGCATTAGAGGGAATTCAGAGTCCAAACAGGGCTATAAACCCAAAGCCATTCTGAGGCACTGCAAGAGTGTCAAGGCAGCACGATGGTATGTGGGTACCAATGAGTTCCGTGTTTATTTTCCAAACAACTGTGAGGCAAAGACCAGGGAATTAGTCCAAGGTGAACCTGAGTAGCTCACAGGCTATTTACTGGCCATATTTTCTGCCAGGCGAGCTACACTTTCATGGATTTCCATACCTTCGGATTTGCAAGTCAAACTTCACAGAGGTGTCCATCTCAGACTGCTGGTGCACACTGAAACGCAGGCCAGCTAACAGCTTGGGGAAAACATCACCATGGGTCAGTGCAAGCACCATAAAATACACCATGAACAGCTTCTTAATGCTCTTAATACTACAGCAGGATGGCTTGAGACTTGTGGCCAGGAGAGAACACACACAGAACTGGCAAATAAAACCTGCCCACTTCCTCAAGACTGGAAAGGCACCTCCCTCTCCGCAGATCAAAGCCAAAACACAAAAGTAAGGATTACATCATGCTCCTCGCCCTTGCTTCAGCCATTTTCACACATAACTGACCCTCCCTGAGCACTGCAAAAAGTGCTGTAGTTTAAAGAACAGGACACAAATGATTCCAACCCATTCCCAAGGTTTGTGCTAAGTCAGTGATGGATAGTTGCTTTAACAGCTGTGCCATTCAGCTTGATATACTTCAAAACACTTTGGAGATGGTTCATCTACGTTCATCTATGCAAAATGGCCCTTGGAAGAAAAGCATCATCAAAGCGTTTATAACTGTGATTTTTCACTTGATTTCCTCAGAAAATAAGACTTATTATATTGAATCATCATAAAATCTGTCAGGTCCCACTAATTGTTTTTTAATTCTTCCAATATCAGCTACATTTGGTGGAATTACAGAGGTCTCAGCTAGACAAAACTCCCTCTCAGTCTTCATAAAATTAAGCAGAAGAGGGATGAACTAAGAGAAAGGTGTGCCATGAGCTAGCTCCTTATTATATAGTGAAAAATACATATCAGATAGAGACAAACTCATGAGGGACTAGATTTTCATTAATTCCAGTATTTAATGAACTACTCATTTTTGAGTTGCATCATAAAACTCATGACCACTCCTTTCAGCCTTTAATTTAGCTGGAAATTTGAAACCAACCAGCACCATCCTAACCAAACATGTGGGCAGCTAAATGCCAGCTATCTCTGATCCCAATTTCCTGCGAGTAAACATCCTGCCCAAACATTGCTGTGATTAAGAAAAATGCCGCCTGCCCTCCTGTTTGAGCTCCCAGACACCAGCTGGAGTAAACCTTACCTTAGTTCCTGCTTTCATGGGATTTCCCAGGTCACAAACCACCATGCGAGTTTCGTTCTCTGTTTTGAATGCACAGGACAGCCTGGCTAAAGCCTGCAGCAAACCAGAAAGAAATGTTAAAGAATACCATCCTTTGCATCTGGACACCTGAATGAAATCTGGAGATGCTGCATTAATTTAAATATAAATTTCTCAGCCTGAAGTCAGTCAAGCACTAAAATCAAATAAAATCTGAGTATCACAGCTTCCCTGGAGCTGAGTGTTTTTGACACAGGATATGTCTCTTTCCAAGGTTATAAGAAGGGACATTCCAATACTCTCATACCGGGTAGCAATTATGATTTCTGTGACATAAAGCATTTCTCCACGTGCTTCTTTACGACCTGTGTGAAGATCAATAGGAAAATAAGGATTGGAAGGCAACTGGATCTCCAATCCAAAGATTGGAAGGCAAAATAACATGAAACCCTACTGGCTTACTCATAAAAAGGTCTTAGGGGAGCTATGACATTTTGGATAAAGCCACTACTCAAGGTTTAGAGTAGCAGAGAAAAACTGGAGAACTGAACCAAAGCAGGGTCCAACAGATAAGAAAAGTCAGGGAAGAGATTTCAATATTTTGTGCAGTCAGGATAACCCATGGCTTTCTACAGATTCAGGTGGAAGAGCACAGTAATACCCAACAATCACCTCTCACCTCACAGCTGCCCAGCTCAAACTAAATTAACGAGGGCCCTGTTCAACCCAAGACTTGCAGCAGATGAAACACAACGGGCCCCAAGCAGACAGTTGGAATTTACCTCGTTGTTCCGGACGACTCCGATGAAATCCGCTTGAGGTGGGACGACGACAAAGAGCTCTGCTTCGTAGGCTCCTTCCCCTTGGTTCTGGGCACTGACAATGAGTGTCAGGGGGTTGTCATCACCAATATAGATCTGCTTCTGATCACTGCAAAAACAGTAAAAAAAAAGAGCTCTGTGTTCACATTTTAAAGGGTACTGAGGTGGCTGAACTTACAGAAATGAGAGACATTCTGAAACTTCACCAAGACATCAGAGAAATCTCAGAGGCAGTACCTACACTTCAGGAAAGCTCTAAATTGTTTAAAAAAAAAATCTCCTATCTACAGTCACAGAAATGGAGCAAATACTGGGTCATTCTTGCTGTGTATGTCCAGTGTAGGACAAATAAACACAGTGAAGTCAGAGTAGGGGCCAGGTGGTAGTGGGGGGTGTCTCTCCCAGCATTACATGCTAAAGACTTCAGGCTGAAAAGCAGAAAATGGGTTTTCTTTAAAATGGATAAGCATGAGTTTAGATAGAATACATCGAGGAGTCCTCCTTATTTCAACACATCTTTCAAACAAAAGTATTACATGGTCTAGAATTTTAGGATTTAAGTAGGGAAATTCCTTTTCCTTGTGGTATTTTTCTCATGTATTTACCTTTCTACTGACACCTCCAGCTTTGGTTTGCAGATATTATCCTCCCCACAATCCAGCAGAATGTGTGCCTATGCAGAAATCAAATGAATATTGTTGTAGTAATTCCTGCATCTGTTCCAACATACATTTCCAACATAATAGTGTCCCACCACTATGAAAAAAAAATAATTCTGGATAGCTGGTTATGAGATATTTTCATGTCATCAGTCTCAGAAGAGAACAAATGAGTACATAGACGGCACTGTGCCTCATCCTGCCCCACTGCAGTTCCAGAACTGATGTCGACACCTTAACCATCTTTCCATACTTTGAATAATCTGCTCATATTGGAGTTGCTCCTCCACTATCCTCTTTACAACCAAGTGAAAAAAATCTGTGTAAAGGGCAGAAACAGAAAAAAAAAACTCCCTATGTTTATTATCTTAAGAGAACTAGAGGGATAAACATAATGTACATAGAGCAGCAATGGATGAAACACTCCAAGCCTTCAATATTAATGCTTTCAGTACTACTCTAACTGCTTTTCTCCAGGACTCTGTTAATTAGGATGTGTGAAAAGGAAGTCCAGCCAGAGAAACGAAAAAAAAAAAAAATTAAAAAAAAAAATCAAAGACAGAAAACCAAATTACAATAACCATCAATGTTTCCATAATTCAAAGACCAGAGCCCAGATGTATATTTAGGTATCTTAATTTTTCAGAAGTCCTTAGATAAACATGAGTTTTGAAAGTCGAGTTCTGTGATGGCAGAGCGTGTGAAAATTATACCTGTCTGCTCATATTAGCAGGAGTGAACTGGTTGAGGATGGGGTGCAATCCTGTGGCATCTGCAGCTGTCCTATAATCCAGACGGTACTCCATGAAGATAGTAATGGGAGTTAGCTTGTCTCTAAATTCAGATTCATCCTGGGGAAAGCAAGGATCTGAATTACAATTACAGGAATGAGGAGGCCAAAACAACATGACAACTTCTGAGGTCTTCCCAAACTAGAAAAATCTCCTGTCAGGAAACCTGCAGCAATGTGCCTGCTTAACAAATGGAAAACTGCAGCACACAGGAGTGTTCAGCCATAGAACTCTAACAGCAAGGAAACTAAGGGCTGCAACAACTCCACCCTTTCCTGGCAGACAAAATTCAGTTGGCTTTAAGATCCTCATCTTTGGATTTAGGACTTTTCCTTTCCTAAAATCATTGCTTTGCGCTCTGGAGTTGCTGACTTTCAGTATTGGTAATTTCAAATCATCCCGTTTGTCAGATGTTGGCTCTGCCTTTCAGAGTAACTACAAACCAGCTCTTAGCTCTGTGTTAGGCACAGATTTGATCAGTGCTTAGTTTCTGACACTCGTGGAAATTACTGGCTGTTGATTTATAAGGACTCGGAGATAAATCTGTTTCTTCTGCTGGGTTACACTTTTAATTGTGTTATTATCTGTTCACATTTGTGGGGACTAAAACAGAAAGACTGTGAAAAAGCAAACTTATTACTTTAACTTTCTCCGTCTCCTCTGTTATTTGCTGATCTTGGCTTTTTAGTTGCAGATCCATATTTCTCTTTCTTTATTTTTTTTTTCTTTACCTCCAAAGTAGATGGACAACTTTTGGTTATTGAGTTTCATATTTCCTGGAAATTACAATTAATTGACTCATTCAAGAATTGCTAACAAAGTTCTGAACTAAATTTCCAATCCATTTAGGGTCCAGGGCCTCATTCCCAGTAATATCCATCATTCATCCTCTGACAGCAGCAATAACGCAGGACAGACACATGGCCTTAGTAATTTCAGGTCTGTCCTGAAATAGACATAAAAAATTAACATAAATGGCCACTTACCCTCAAGAAGGCATCGAGTTCTTCACAGTTCATTTTGCCCCCCTTGGTGATAGTCATGTTCTTAGAGTGGCTGGGCTGTTTGCTGTGGAGAAAGAGAGCTCTCCTTATAGCTCCCTTCTGTTTAAGTTTATCCAACAGCAGCTCCACTTGGAAATCTGTCCAGTGCAAAGCATTTTTGGGTTAGGTAAGTTCTATTCCATTCAACACAGTGCAGATTCCCATCAGAAATGGGGTTGGACACTGATTTCAGCTACAGTGACAACACAGAGCTTGCAACTTTTCAAACTTCCAGTTCTTCCAGTGTAAAATCTGTTACTACATTAGTTCTCAAGCACTGTAGCTGTCCTAAATTGGACTCTGCTTTTCCCTTAAAAATCTAGAAACATATCAGAGCATGAAACATTTATAATGTATAATTCCTATAGAACTGCAAGGACAAAAGTCAAATCTTTTCACCCCAGAAATCTTTAAAGCAGTTTTGCATAGAGCAGTTGTGTATTTAAACTCTATTGCTAATCTAGGCGATTACAGCCAAAAAAAACCCTGTTGAAGAGAGTCACACAAGGTTACCCAAGGGGAAGGAGTGTGCTGAAAGGGCAGCTAATTCTTTCAATAATGGAAATAACAATGACCTGTTCTCATGTCTGCTAACAACACACAAAGACTTTAAAGTTTTTAAACAAGCAGAACTTACTGAGTGAGTTCGGGAGCTTGCCTTTGCCATCCGCTTTTAAGCAGAACTTTACTTTGAAGCTGTTTTGGAGGAAAAGAAAATGCTTATTTCATACACTTTCTCTCCCATTTTCTCCTAAAATTCTTCACTGTTTATTTCTGTTCAAAGGTCTTATTTTGTACTGTCTGTTCTCTCAGCAAAAAAACCCCCTGTATTTGTCTTTTTCCTTATTAGTTGGCTGGACTTCCTGAATCCTTTAAAACTGGAAGCTTACAAAAAAAAAAAAAAAAAAAAGCCAAGAAAGTCCCTCCCCTCAAAGGAAAACACAGATACCCTGCTTACCAAGAAACTTTTACATCTCCCAGTGAACAGGCTTTGTTTTCTGGGTTCAGAATGGTTGGATTAACTTCCAGAGCAGCATTTACTCGAATAACTGGTCTAGCCCTGCAAAGAAAACATCCTCTTGGAACAGCATTCAACACCAAGTTAGACAATACCTGCCCCATCAAATTGTGAAATATGTACAAACACACAATATTCAGTGAAACCACAAGAAAAACAAATAATCAACGAGTAGATGAGGGAAAAGCGGGGAGCTTTTCTGTGCCCTTTCATTCCCATCAGTCAGAACACGGACAGCTGTGTAAAGAGGAAGTCCTATCTGTTTCTGGCACTAACAAACAAGGTATTGTCCCAAAGCGAGCAAGCCTGGATGAGAACATGGGGATTCCAGTGGAGTAGCAGTATGTGTCAGAATCTAGAGAGCTGTCACTCAGAAAGCCTTGAAGACAGCTCATTTATATTTCCTCTTCACTATACTGAGAAAGATGAATTCTAGGCAGCAGACTGCAGGTATACTCAGTAAAAACAGCACTGCAACCTTTTATTTCACCTCCAGCATTCTGGAAAAGGGTGGAGTGGCAGAATTTCAGACTGATCCTGCCTTCTTTTTTCATCTCAAGGACCCCCCTGAGCTTCCCCTCTGCTTGCACTTGGGTACAAGCCCAGCAGATCCTCACCTGTACAGAACAGCTGTGTCAACACCAAAGGCTCCAACAATCAAGTCTAGGGGAAAAAAAAAAGGGGGACATATTACCCATTACAATTTATTTATTTATTTTTTTAAAAATATGCTGTTTGCTTTAGAGGTGGGGCTGCTATTTGGGTCAAGTTATTTGAAAGTGCATTTAGAGCAAAGGAGGACCTGGATATCCATTTTTGTCCACGTCTGTGGCTCCTTTCAGTGAGTAGCCAAAACTGGGCGGCATAGTTCGAGCAGCCCACTGCCCCTCCAGGATTTGGGAGGGCACTGCATTCAAACCACTTGCTCTCCCATTGTAGATGTAGACAAGTCCTCTCTTGTCCTCTCCACCGTAGGGTGCAGCCACTGCAATATCTGAAAAGCAAGACAGGGACTGTCAGCATCTCCAGACACAGAGAAAGGGAACGTTTTTGAGCTTACATCAGTCAGTCGTTTCTGACATTACAGCTTCAGTGTGTGTCAGGAGGGAGGAAATGCACCCAGCCTTTAAAACACTCATCAACAACCTTGGTTTGGTTATTTTTTTTAATTGGATGCTGGATTTTTTCTAGAAAGCATAAATGTTTAACAAGAACCCTTCACAGACTTGAAGGGCGGGGAGCAGGGAAAGAAATAGTTCTGCAAGCACTTCTGCACCTCAATATAACTGACTTGCAGTCAAATCTTATGGATTTGGAATGCTTTTGAGATTATTAAAACACACAGAATGAGTAATTGTTGGTGCCAAATCACAAAACTAAGTGGGGCTATCTTCCCATTTCATTAACACGCTTGTGTTCCTCCAAAGGGTGTGACATTTTAATAATTCTGGAAAACTTAAATCATCCTAAACCAATGGTAAATATGAAATTCCAGTCTATCCTGATCATGGCTTGGCAACATGTTTTATGGAGAACTCTCAGTTAGTGCAATTTTTCTATCTCTTAAAGCGTAATAAATTTAAGAGTACTCATTTTCAATGACTAATAAACAGTAATAAACAAAATGTTAATTAGACCGCAAGGACAGCTTTAGAAGTGCAAACATGATGTACATTCAACAGTCAAAGACTAAACACGAAACACTGTACAGAATAATCTCATTTTTCCTTCCTCTTTACTTAAATTTGAGAAAGTTCGATGAAAAGAGCAAGGGCTCAAAATTTACCATTTTGTATTTTTATATTTACAAACTTTATGACACCAGTAAAAATTCCAAATCTTGCCACCATACTGTGATGGAAAATATTTTAACTAACACTCTCCAAATAAAGCAGAGCAAAAACCAAAACAAATAGATTAAATAACAGTAGAAAAATTAAAAAGAGGCAGCTTTTGCTGTGATTTTCTGGCCTGCAGTTTATTTCAGATTAAAGTATGATGGAAACATTTTTGGGATAATTTCATCAGGGGACTAGAGTTTTGGCTATCAGCTGTAACCTTTCCAATGCCTTTTGTAAATAGCTGCAGTGATATCACATCTTCACACTGATTCTGCATGTTAGTAGCAACTAAAAAGGTCCCTTCCAACTCAAACTATTCTATGATGTTATGATTTCATAATAGAAAATAAATTAAGAGCTTCATGAGAATTTGAAATATTAGCCTGCTGTAATTTTTGATCTTTCAGAAATTACTTATCTTGTGAGCAGAATGGAAAAAATGAGCATTTTTGGAGAAACTCAAATTCCTTACTACTCTTGAGGCAACACTGGAGTATGATGTGCATAACCAGATGTTCTCCCTGGGATTCCTGGAAGTCTCCATCCTAAAACTACATGTTTCCTGCCTGTTTCCTTGCTCTCAATTCCTAAGTGAAAGTAACAAGTTCCTAAAGTAACAAGAAGCAAAGGCAAGGAGTCTGAGAGTCCTCAGCCTCAGCTGTGGCAGACTCAGACTTCTCATCCAATTACTGGCTCCAGACACTCAGCTCTTGGGACAGCCACCCCTAGTTTTTAGGAATTATTTTCACCAAACCTTCCCATTTTGGAATGGACTTGTCTCAGGAAAATCTCTTTTATGAGAACATTTTTAACCAGCTCTCTGAAACATATCCTTCCTTTCCGTCCTCATTGTGTTTCTGGAGCACAAAGTCAGTTTGGAATGGAATGGAAATGGGAGGCTTCTACTGCAGGTGTCCTAACAAGTCACAGGGCAGAGCTGAGTATTTAACCAGAGTTTCTGTTGGAGTTATCACCCAGAAAGCAAAGAGCTGCTCAGTGGAACAGCTCTTTGTAATCCATGCTGCAGCTGCAATGGTATAGTCTCTGCTCGATGCATCCATGGAACTCCTGTTAGCATTCCTGGGAGTAGCATACAAGCATCGAAAGGAGTCTAGACCTCGGTGTCCACCACTCAGCCACGGCAGGAATGTCGAGTGTTTGTGTGCAGAATCCACAGTCAATGTGTGCTGGCTGTGAGCCCTCTACCAACAGGAGCCCCTGATGGACAAAGGATGTCCTACCATTGAAGCCGTCCTGGTCCAGGTCCCCCAGCGGGGCGATGGAGCTGCCGAACCGTGCGAAGATCTCGAAGCCATTCAGCTTGGAGGTCTGGAACCCTCCAGAAGGTCTCTGCAGGCAGATGGACACCTGGCCGACCTCCTGAAGTTTCCCATCTGAGCCTCGATCCATGAAAAGGGGGGCTCCAATAAACAGATCTGTATAACTGGACCACAGAAGGACAAGGTTCTTCAGCAGTAGCACGAAAATTCATTCTCTTAAGCATCTGTTGGTAGGATTAACTCAGCACTGAAGCCAACACCAACATCCAAATTAACTGTCTTTAAATTTCCACTGAAGGCAAACATTTATAGGCAGAGTAAGCACAAATATACCAGAATTTAATGCATTTAAAATATGTGAATGCACACGTGTATTTATGCAGATAAATACAAAACCAAGCCCTCAATTGTTAAACCAAATGTTGAGTGTTAGCAAGAGTGCTGTGCAGACACGTGTTAAACCAGTAATGAAGACAGCAATCTAGACTGTGGGAAAGACTTTTTAATAAAAAACTCTTTTTTTTCTCTTTCCAGAAGGAAGCTGGGTGGCAGTGCTGAGAGGAGGGCACTTACTTGTCCCCATCGACGTCTGTGGCAGCCACCGAATACCCAAAATAGGCAGCCATCTGAAAAAACAAAATTCAAACCCAACTTGTGAGTTGCAGTGATACAAACACGAACTAGCTTACACAAATCTGCACAGAAAATACCTCAGGGAGATGATAATATACACCAAACTTTTTTTTTGGTCTCCTTTTTCCGGGTGTTTTCCTTTCTGTTTCTTACGCAGAAAGTCAACTGATCCAGTCCTCTCTCCCAACTCTCAAAAAGGCCAGCATTTCCCTTATTTAAAAATAAGACTGGAATTCCTGCAGACTATATAAAATGTTGCTTTGGCAATTAAGCCAACAACACAGGGAACATCCTATTATCTACCTCCCTAAATACTGTCTGAACACAGGAATAGCCTCCAGGTCACCCACCAACACTCAGTCGAGCTACACACCTGCTCCCCAGTGAAGTTGTACATGGAAGACATGTTCTTCCCATTGTAGATAGACACCTGCACATGAAGAAACACACCTTAGAGCACACCAACAATATTCACCTTCGGCACTTATGTTAAAGCTTTACATTTCCTACCATTCCCAGAGTTCTCGCTGCTCTCGGGACTCCTGATATGAAATCTGGAACATAAGCACAGGGACTTGGCTTGAACAGAGCAGCTCATTCCTACTGCCTGATGCACTTTATGATTTACTTGAAAGATCTGCCCAGCCTATTAACATGACCTTTTTTTAAGTGAAGCAAATGCTCTTACCTTCTATGCCATCACCATTGAAGTCTCCAACAGCCACTGAGTAACCTGAACAGACAAGAGGAGACTTTAAAAATCTCAGCAAACGTTTCATCTTTCTTCACACTCTTCAAAAGTCTCTGTGCACAGTCCTCCTTTCTTCTTTTTAAAATGCAATGCAATAAATATTGTCTCAAAGCAGCTTAGACTGTGAACAGCTCCAAGAATTTGAAGTCAGAAGGCAAAAATTCTAAAATTATTATCCTGGGAATCGCCCTGGTCCATCCTTGCTTTTTTCCGAACCTGGTTAGACATCTATGAAGCTAAATTATGATTGCCCACTCCTCTGTGGGACTCTCTTTGTGTTTTCTCTTCCCAAACATAACTATTTTCCATTTTTTATTTTGTTTTGGTGGATTATTTAGAAACAGCCGCTTTTCAAAAAGTAGGCACGCAACCAACTTCCCACATAAAAATCACACCTGGGCCATTCCCATATGCAGCCTGAATCCCAGAGCATGAAAAAATCATGGAAATATTTCCATTTATTTTGTCATCAGGTGCTTTTTCAGCCGAGCCTGTGGCAAGATAACTGAGGTTCCACCACACGTAAATGACTGCCTTTTCAGGTGTGTTGCTCCTTAGTCATCTGCCCAGTGCTGAGTGGGAAGTGCTGTGATTTAGCCTGCAATATGAGCAGTGCAAGGCAGTTTTCCAGGTGCAGCTGGGCTGTCCTGTCTGCCACTACCCACCCAAGTAGCTGTCATCAAAAGCAGCACTGGCAGGTTTGGTTGCCAGCTGGTCGTCATACTTGGTGCTGTAGACCTTGGAGTTGTACTTGGCCACAATCTCTGTCACCCGGTCAGAAATAAGCTGGCCTAAAGAGAAAGAGAACAGCTGAAAACCCCAAAGAGAAGGTGTGACCTCAGTCAGTGAGTTACAGGGCTCATTTACAGCATGCTGCCTTCTGAAGCAACAGCTCTTCCAGAGCCCTGACCAGGAAGCAGCCACTGGCAGCAGCACCGGGAAAGGTGAAAGTGGGACTTTGCATCCCACCTCAAAAAAACGTGTGCACATATTGGCAGAGAGAAGCACACAAAGAGTTCTCCCTGAAAACAGAAGCTGCTCTTACATACAAGGCAGGCCTTAAATGGGAGTGCTCAGTTCTCATATGCCGATGGTATCTCAGAACTGAGTCAGTGCTCCTAAATCCCATAACACCAGAGCTTATTTTGGCAGACAAGAGGCTGGGAAGGTGACCACAAATGAGGAGAGCACAGTGCATTACCACATCCTGCACTCTCACTCCACCAACCACTAGGTGGTGACTGCATTACATTCTGAGTCTAAAATAAAACTTGAATCATCCCAAAAAAATGTTCAGAATAACACCTACTTCACATACATATTCAAACATATATGAAGGTTAGAGAAAACTACTCCTCCAGCACTTCAGAATGAGGAAAAAGAGTTTAGGATGAAAAATCTAGTTTTCAGGAGTATAGTGTTAGAGATTTTCCAACTATTTTCTTCTATTCAGAGCCAACATCTTTCTTTTCTGGAAGCAGTGTGAGAGAACAAGGTTGTTTTGGCAGATGAGGTGTCACTTGAGCCAAAAAAACAAATACAGGAACATAATCTATATTGTATTGTATCTGCAGTTTCAGCTTCAATCATTCCATTCTGTCCAGAATTGAGAGCACAGGACTGGAATGAGCCTCCTGTGCTGCTGCATCTTCCTGTGGGCTGGCTTGATACAGAAGGTCTATTAATAAACGCTGGTATTTACGTTAAAAGAAGGCAGCAGAGCGTGGCAGCCATGTCCTGATTGCAGCAGCAGCCTCTCCTGAGTGGAGGGCTGCAGCTAAAAGCTGAATGATCCTGCCAAGTCCACATTAGCAAAGTGTACAGGTGATGCTCTGTGCAAGCAGTGCAGGGAGAGGGAGAGTTTTCTTACTGACAAAGACTCTGACAGTGGCTGGAAGGCTGCGGATAAAAATCTCTAAGAGAACAAAAAGCAAAATCAGAGATCAGTTTCTCTGTGACTTCAATAATATCTCTCACCTTGCCAGTAAAAGCTTCCAGGTCCTCCAAGCAGCACCCTGTCTCCCTTGGAGGGGAAGGGGAAAAAAAAAAAAAGACAGAAACAAAAATTAAAAACATCTAAAATCAGGAAAACATGTCCTATGTTTATGGGAAGTGATTCCATGCATGTACATCGCTATAGCTTCGCTGACCCCCACACATTTTATCTTTTGAAGATAACAAACAATCTGCTTTCAGTGACTCATGGCTCTGTTTCATCCATTTAATATTCTAGTCAGAATTTTGCTTTTGTTACAATGGACCCTTCTTCCCACATAAATCTAAGGCAACAGGAATACAGTTAGGAGAAAAATTTAGGACTGCTCCATGACAATCATAGCACGTTCTTAGATCAGTATCCAAAACTAGTTTCATCTCCTGCCCTCTGCCACTTTTCTTGAATTATCATCAGAAAAGTTTAACTCAGAATAACTGTGCTCTAATTCCCCCATTCCATATTCCTTGGCACAACTGCCATCCACAAACCATTTGATGAAGCTTTAACCACATCAGCTATCCCAGTGCTGGGAATTTGCTCTGTAAGTACTGGATTAGGCCACAGGCTTTGCTGAATAAATAAAGTACTTATTCAGGTCTTAATCCTAAAAAGTCTCATATTCACCACTCAGAAAAATCCAGGTCAGAGATTTGGAGATACCTTAGAGCCAGGCTTGCCCACTCAGTGAGGGTTTGGGGTTAGAGCCCCAGGCTGGTTTTAACTGGGGCTGGAGTCTGCACAGCAGCCCTGAGGGGGGTGTGTAGAATAATTCAAACACTTACAGTCCTACCCTGCACTTTGCAGTTTCATCTGGAGTTAAAACAAGAGTAGTCTTGTGCAAAGAGTGAAGGGACATGACCTAATCATCAGATGTGAAGTCACATCACAAGCAGGACTTGCAGGGTCTTGACATGTCCAGGCTGTGCTAAACAATTTTACTGCACAATGTGGAAACTGCAGTAAGTTCTCAGATCTGTGCACAGTTTTATTGTGCTGGATTTAGGAAGTAATTGTGAATTAAAGGAAAAAAAAAAAAAAAAGAAGAACTCTAAAAAGGCGGAACTCAAAAGGAGAAGAAACCTAAGTGCACTTCTGCTGGCTGATGGGAAAAACAAACATGAGTCACAAGAACATTGTTTACCTAACTTCCTTAAGTTATTATTCCTCAAGAAGTAACACTACTGTGCACCAACATGTCCCAAAAATCCTGACCACTGCAGCTGATTCCACCTGAGGACAAGCTGGGAAAATGGATTGTTAGCTCTGGACCTGATTCCTACAGGAGATGAAACTGTGCTGCTCTGAAGACACGGGGAGAAACAGGTTTAGAACAGCTGTCTGAGTGGTTTGAAGTTACTTTTTGTTCTGTTTGCAAATTGTGTTTGGTTGTGGGGTTTCCCCCCACCCCAGGAACGGTGGTTTACATTTGGCTTCCTAAGAGCTGTGCCTGTCAGTGCTCTGCGTAAGGGGTGTTTTGTCTGCTGACCCCCAGGAATTGAGAAAGCAACACCTACCTTTGTAAAGTCAATGCTAAATCCACCTTGACAAAATCCCTGCCCATCTGCATCAATGATTGCTGACAAAGAAAAAACCAAAACAAACAAACAAAAAAAACCCCAAAACAAAATAAAAACCCAAAACAACAAAAACAAACAAACAAACCATAAAAAACAAACAAACAAAAAAGGAGACAAAAGAAAGAAAAATAAATATTATCAGTACTAGATCAGATGATTCTGTGGATACAATTCTTCCTAAATCAGCTTTCACTCCTGAACTTGAACCTTGGAATTCTTTACTCCTAAATCAGTATTTTGTCTTTACCAACAATTCACAGCCAAATGCTGTAAGAACTGCAGGGCTGGCTACCTGTAACACTAATATGTGTTCTAGCCTACCACAGTCAAAGTGAACAGCAACTCCACATTCTTTTTCATTTCATCTTCAAAATTTGAGGGGGAAAATATCTGCAATTATATTCAGGAAATAAGGCATATGGAAAATAACTTTTATTTTGGTATGGAATAAAAATGTGAATTGGCTTAAAACAAAAAGGGGAATACCTGGCTGAGAAGATCTCTATTTACTGAGGCTCATCCCAGCAAGAATTGTTATGAGTGAGTTAATCATAGGATTTTACAGCTCCAGGGTAGAAATGCTGAGACCTCCTTATCTCAAAGTGTGCCTGCTGAACTAACATGATTTAGTTCAATATACACTTATCCAACTTCTTTTCATGTTGGACCACACTGGATTTGATTCCTGCAGTTAAAAAACAACTTTCAGCAAATGAAAAGACAATCCCACCTTCAACATTCAGCTTCTAAATTTCTGTGTTTAAGAAAGGTTCTATACCTCTGAATAATCTACCAACCCAACTAGAAGACACAGATGTAAAGAACTGGGAAAATAGGACTCAAAATGTTCAATGGTTAATATAATTTAAACAATGCCAATCTAAGATTTTTTTTTCCCCCTAGAAGAAAGCAAGGTCTGCATCTTGAACACCAGCTGGAGGAGGATTCAGATGTCTGAATGGAAGGGGGGAAAATACCCCTAAAACATCCTGCTTCAAAATGTGCACAAGATACAAACACCAGAAGGATTCCAAATGGAGAAGCCCCACAAAGTGCTCTGTGCTTACTTGACCTGCAGGGAGCATATTCCACAAATTTGGACCCAGCAAGCAGGTAACATGTTCCCACAGGTTCCCTCTCTTGTTTGGTTTCGGTTCTCCAGTGGTACAGTGGGGCACAGGCCTGGGGAAGAACACACAGCAGTGAGAAAACAAACTCCCCTTCCATAGAATTCCAATTTTCTACAGAAGAGCAAACAAACAAAAAAACCTGGCAGATGTACCATGTGTTATTATAGGGGATTTATACTATGAGCACTGGGGCAGCAGGATCACCAGCCTGCATTTTGTAAGTAGATAGTTCACATCAAGAATTTCAGAAATAATATTTTGTGGAGAGTTCATCGAGAATTTATAACACATTCTAACTTCATCAAACCAGATCTACTAATTTCCTTCAAACAAGACAAAAATGCTACAGCCTTTGTTTATAAAGAGTTTAACAAAGCCTAGCTAAGAAATCCTGAAAAAAAACCAAACAAACAAAAAAAAAAGAAGACAAGTCATGCTGATTAGTGTGATTTTGTTTAAATTCTAAGTTATCTTTTCACATTTTTTCCCACTACAGTATCTCCATAGTGAGGCATTGAAAAGGCACCAAAAAACCCACCAGAATTTTATCATTTTGGGATCTCACAGAGGCTCCAAACCACTGATGAGACTTGAATTCCAGGGGATCATCGGGAGCAAAATCTCTGTTACCTACAAAGAAAACAAAAAAAGAAGCATTATTTCATTATTTCACAGGAAACCACAAAGTAAAACAGAGGGAAAAAAAAAAACAAAACAAAAAACAAAACAAAAACAACAAAACAAACCCTAAGTCATTGGTTTGGACACATACAGAAAGCATTAACATTAGAGGATATCACCCTTTGATGTAAAAAGGTTTTATCAAGGATTTATCAAGGATTTATCATTTTGTTTTACATGCAGCCATTCTCACATGTGAAGCATCAGTACCAAGGCTGGTTTGCTGGAAGAGCAGAAAGTTTCAAGCACATTTGAGAGTGACACAGTAAATACCTCACACTTGAGACATCACTTGGCTTCCAAGCAGATGACAGCACTGCTCAGGCAGTGCCAAAGCCCAGTTAGGACTAACACTTCCAGAAGAAATATTGCCCCTGTGGAATTGTGTGAGCTCTGCCTTTGGCTGGAACAGGGACTGAGGTTCTTCCCCCTGTTCCAATGACAACATCTCTGCTCTGGATGTCACTGCAACTCCAATCATTTGGTGTGTCTCGTGTACTGTCCTTGGAAAACTGATGGCAACTTGGCCAGCCTGATGAGAAAATGGAGGCAACACTCTGAAAAACATATGTAAAAGTCCCCTAAAGCCCTGGTTTCCAGAGCCCAAAGCTATGGGAACTGATGAGATCAGCAGCCACACGTCACTCCCAGATTGCCAGGGGGATCCCCGAGCACAAGCCTGTCATGAATCACAGACCTGTGACCACTTGAAGCCAAATTTCCTTGCTTGTTTTTACACCTTGTAAGGAGTGTTTTGTCTCTACAGATCATGTTACTTCCTTTAGGAAAATCCCATGAAAAAGACAAAAGAGATTGTAATCCTCCAGCTCAGCCAAAACAAGCAAATACCTGCACTATTTTTGCTCTCAGGTTAGAACTAGACAGAAATCAACGCCAAGGGTGTTGCAACCAGATAACTATTGTGGGTTTGTTTGGGTTTCTTTCTTTCTAATTTCATCACAGGTGATTAAAAACCCCACTTCCTTCTGTTGCCCTCAGTCCACCCTTATTGGACTGGTGTTAAAGATGTGGCGGGTCGGATGATGAGCACATCTGCAGGGATTTCTGTTCCTTGAACATTTACACTCTCACCCTTGCACAGTCTTAAATGCAGTTTGAGGACCTGCACATCACCTTCTCGAGGTACAGAAAACCAAAACCAGATCAAGATGTTTTCCAAAAAAGGAACTGTCTTTAGCACACACAAATCCCGGTGTTTTATCACCATTGGTTTTTTTCCCCCCATTCCTCACATTTAAATCATGAAGAGAGACTTAAAAATGGTTAATTCATCTCGTAACCACACCCAAGGTTACGTAGCCCTGAAAGACAGATTTGGCTTCTGCCCTCTCCTTGTCCAGCTACTCTTGGTTACAAAAAGGTCTCTGGGTTTCCCTTGCCAAACAAAGCTTTCAACAATGTAAAACTTGGGATTAATTAGGGCAGGACATTTTATACTTTTTCCTGCCGTTGCATACTTATACAGCACTGGATATCTACCACAGAAATGAAAGCTGGTAGAGCAGTTCTATGTGTAGAGCAGAAGGGGAACTGGCAGATTAACCAGGACGTGGTGCCAAAACAGCCCCGCTGTACCTTCTCCCTGAGCATTCCCGAGCTGCGAGGAAGGATCAGCGTCCAGGACAGCATCTTTAAGAACCTGTCCCTTAGGGTTTAGGGGACAACACTATTTTTCTACAGCACTGACAGAGCCCTGATTCAGCTCAAAATCGAGGGTAATGTTAGAAATCTCTGGGCCTTGAGCTACAGTCAGGAGCTGGCAGGTAAAAAACCAAAAATCTTCAAACCAGAAAGCAAAAATAAACGTGACCACAAAGCTGAGGATGCGCCAAACGTACTTTGTGTATCAGAGTCAAGATTTCAGGAGGCAGCATCATAAATTTCTGGATGCCTAAATGGCAAATTAGGAATTCTTATGCTTACAAAGCCCCTCTACATCCTCTAGCAAAAAGTGCTCTATCGGGCAATTTGGCTAAATGGATTGTATTTATTTATGGCACACAACTATCACAAAAATATATTGCCAACATCTTGGTCAAATTGTCCAGTGTCAGTGCAGATGCACATAAGAAACCAACATGTGCTCCAAGGTTAAGGGGCCTTACATTGACTTTGTCTTGTTTTCAAAGCCTCCTTTGAGGGAGGGAGGGGTATCTTAGGGAGAGGGCCTTGAAATCAGCTGTAACACTGGAAAGTGCACTAGGACATAAAAAACTAGATCAGGTAGAAAGTGTGTACCTTAGAAACACTGACAGATGTCTCATTCAAAGTTCTCCCCAGGAAGAACAGTGTAAATAGATTATAAGCTTTTTCCCTCAGATCCAGAAGAGAAACTGATTTTCTGAGGAGATCTGGAAAACACCCCTTTGTCAAAAATCCCCTTGATCTAAACAAGAAATGACTGGGAAAAGTAAACATAAAAACACTTAAATATGTGCCCTTCCTGAAGCAAACCACAGTTAAGTAAGGTAGTTTAGCTACACCATGAAGTAGATGTGTCACGGGAAGGCACAGGACTCACCTCAGCATTTTTGTGTTTTAGTGTAAAGAGCTGCACTTCATTATTATTTGAGCTTGGTATAATTTTTCAGTGGCAGTTATATATCTAAAAGAAAGCCTTCCCCCATACCCTTTAAAACAGCACCTTCCTCAAATGAAGCAAACTGTCATACAGGTAAGATTAAAACATCCAGGGATTTATGAATCCAGACCAGTGTTGTGATGTATTACAGTCAGTCTTACTACCCATAAGGGTTCTTATAGCCAGGGCTGGATTTCTTGCATTTCTAAATTCTTTAAGAGCATCTCAAGAACACCTCAGAAATGCCCTTAAACGAATGATGTACATTTTGACCACAGATTCACTGAAAGGTTTGGGTTGGAAGGGACCTTAAAGCTCATCTCGCTCCAACCTCTCTGCCATGGGAAGGGACACCTTCCACCAACCCAGGGTGCTCAGAGCCCCATCCAGCCTGGCCTTGAAAAGGCCTTTCAAAAGGCATTCAAACAGATAGATCTGGGCAAGACAACCTATGTTCTGACTGGACTGACTCAAAAAAAACGTTCAGAGCTTTTATACAATGCTATTTGTCAGACTGAAATGCAGCCACTACAGGGACTTGTGGTGGATGGGTAATTAATTCCAGGATTTGACCAGAGGGTATTATTTCCTGTCTTTAAAGGCAGCTTCTACTGTGGTTTCCCCTTTGTTCCTTCTCGTGGTAGTAGCCATCACATGATGATTTCACACAACTCTTTCGTTAGGGAAAAAGGGCTGACGTGTCAAGCCAACAGTTCCCTGTCTCACCAATTAATTTCCAGGTGGGGTGATGGGGTAGTCAAGGCTGGAACAGATTTTTTAATTTTTTTTTCCCTTCAAAAAAATAGGTGTATCGCTGCTGATGGACCAGTGGAACATTTTCATTTTACTGCACCACATAGGGTTTAAATTTATAAATGAAAATTAACGCGGTGAGATTACAGGGGAAACAAAAATAGTCTTACTCATCTTCCAAATATAATTAAAAAAGATCAGAAGTTTTTTTCAGTGCCAGGTTTCTTTTTAGCTATCAGCCTTGGATAGTTGGCATCTCTTTTTCCCCAAGGTAAATGTTATCAGTTACGGAAACAATGGAGTTACTACAAAATGCCTCTGTTGAGTAAGTGGATCGAGTTGTAACTTGCAGCCCGCCTGTTTTAATAGTACTGAGCGAACTTAGCTAAAACATTTGCCCCTGATCTTCGGTGCAGGTCTTACCTGAGGTAATTAGGAGTCAAGAGGCACTGAACTCATGAAACCTGGTTCAGTGTCATCACACTAAGAACACTTGAGAAGCTGTAAAATGAAAGTAGTCACCTAATTCACAGAACTCAGGTTAAAGTAAACCTCTCTGTAACTATGCCAATTCAAAGTAAACGATGTCGACACTTCTGGGTAAAAGGAAACTATGTAGCCAGTCCAAAGAAAGAGCTCTGCTCTCCTAAAGTGAGATCTTGGTGCGGTATCTTCCAGCCCACACCTCAGTGAAGGCAGCAGGAGCCACTTTATCTTTATGGAGCTTATCTTTACTAGAAACTCCCCGTGCGACCAGACGGCTGATGGTTGAGCAACCTGGGTTCAGCCAGCGTTTTGTGGTGACTCAGGGAGAATGCAGCCCTTCCCATGACGCCCCTCCTCTCTCCCGAGGTAAGAATCCTGCATTTTTTCCCCCGGGTGGTGCTGGAACAGAAGCGTCTTTTCCCTTGGCTAACATAAGTAAGGCACTTTTTTTTTTAATTTTTTTTTTTCCAACTAGTCATACCACTGAGATCCAGCCACCCACGGGCAGAGCCAAGAGTGTTCGTGCAGGAGTCTACCTAATCCCAGAAGCATGAGCGTTCCTCCTCTGTCAGCGGAGGAGGAGGAGGATTGATCCGTTCTGCCGTCCTCCCCTGCACTCAGAGCAGCTCCCAGATCCCAAAGCACGCTCCGTTTTATCCGGCGCGCCCGAGATAAGGATGGCAACCAAACTTCAACGGGAGCGAGGCAGTGGCAGATTTAGTGAGATAAAAAAAGCAATCCGTTTCACCGTAGATGAATGAATGGTCTTGGCGAGATTTATCGCTTTCCTGTTGACTGAATCGACGGCCTTTGTGATTGAAATCCCCCAGGGATCGCACACTGATGCCAATAAAACAACCAGCTAAAGGTAAAAAAGTACTTTGTTAAAGCAAGCTGTTTCCACTCGTCCCACTCTCCCTCATTCCGTGAGTGGAAATGCTGGAGTTACGAACAACTGACTCACAGTCAAAATCTCCGCAAGGCAAGTGTAGGCTCATGGCACCCGCTCCAGTCACAACTTCAACATCAGCAGGCTGAACAATCCTAAAGCTCAAAGCTGCCCAAGGCACTTAAAATACCCACTTCAAGCTAAATAGGTCACAGATAGATCCAGCCATGCCAAACTGATGATTTAGGCTTCCAAACAAAGCCTCCTATTGTTTAGGATCACCCACTCGGGGATAGAAAAAAACCCAAATGTGTAAACATAAGGAGGAATCGGGAGAGTTCTTTCTAAACATGTTCCTTTTCGAAAGCCTCCTTCTCCTCTATCAGCACAGATCAAAACAATCAGTCTCCAAAGAATTTCATCCAAAAGCATTTAAGACCAAGCCATTTCTCTAAAATCACTCTGCTGTGTCAAAACACGGGGGAAGGGGCAAGAGGAGGGACAGCACGACTGTCAGTGGCAAAACCTTCTCCAGCCACAGGCCACACTGAATTCTCTCTCCAAAGCAATAAGAACACACCATGCAGAGCTGAAAACGTTTGAGATGCTCCTGGTTTTCAAGTATTCAACATCTTCTGTTGAGTTTCCCCGGTGCTGGATTTTGAGATGTGCCACAGAGAATGAAAGCAGCAGGGAAAGCTTTGCCCAGGAGAAGGGAAGACCGTTCAGCCGTGCTGTCCATGGTTTACCACACAAATCTCAGAGGAGCACAACAATACACTGTCTGAGCAAGCAAATCTTCCCGGACTAAGCACGAAATCTGCTCGAGGAATCTGCAACTCATTAGCACAGAAGTTCAAAGTTGTTTCATGGGCTCATTTTCCTTTGTAACAGTTCGTAGAGCTGTCTGCATTCCATCATTCTAAAGGCAGCAGCTCTTGAAACAGTCTCAGCACTGCCCTTCCCGAGGCTGACAAAAAGCGCTGTGTTTTCAGGCATCCTGCCAGTGTAGCAGGTACATTTCTCTTCAAGTGAGCAGCAGATGAAGCCACTGTTCAGCTTCTAAGAGTGGAGCACCCCTCCAGTCAGCCTTGCAGAAAGTGCTTGGCCAGCAATAAGAGCAGTTTTTTCACCAATTGCTTTCCCAGATACTTTCTTTCTGACAAAATTCAGAATATTTCCCTATTTCTGTAGATTAAAACAAAACAAACAAAAAACCAACAAAAACAAGAAAACAAACAAACAAAAATCCCGTAAATTTTCTGTCACAAAATCATCTAATGTGTAGAATGGATAAGAATGAATGAAGATAAATATTTACCCACCTTCAGCTATAACCTGTGATTTTTGATAATTTGACTGTGAAATCTTTGCAACATCTTGCAAAGAAAGGATTTATTACTATTGATTCTGCTTATGACAATTTCGAAGAACATGCTACCTTGAGCACACAAATTTCCCCTCAGTGTTGTCCTGAAAAAACGAGGCCTCCTACACATCCTGAAATTCTGAAAGTTAGCTGAGTCAAAGGGTGAAAATCCCAAGGGATTTTACAGAATGATTGGATTGAAACTATGGTAATGCTGAGGCAACTGTAGCAAGAAGTCAAGATACACAAGAATACAAAGAGCAGAAACTTCAGCTTTGTCACAGAGGCACCTTCAGCTATTGAATTAACGAGGTAAACAGAAACAAAGTAAAAAAAAAAAAAACAGTTTTCAAATCAGATTCTACCTCAACAGGCAGGATAAAATCTGTTAAAGTAACAGCAGCCCTGCTTCCTGGTTCAGTTTGGCACCAGCACCAAGGAAGGTGTGAGTGGTGCAAGGGAGGAAGCTGGCCCTGGTGGTGGGGTCCTTTTCAACCTTGATCTCTGCTTGCTTCTGAGAGCAAAAGGCAGCCTGAAGCACACGCCTAATGATACTTGAAAGCTTTTTTTTTAATAGACTCCCTTCCTGGCCACTTAGCCAGCAGCACATGCAGCACAGCTCCAGGCACCCCTGAATTCGAGGGCACGTCCTGGCACACACGTCTGCTGTGCGATCCTCGCAGAGTCATTACCACATTAAATCAAACCCAACTGAGGTCGAGGCCGAAACGCTGAGAAGCCCCACAGCGAAGCATCGTTACATTTGGGAAGTGTTAATGTGTGATACAAACGTTTTTGCCTTCCAAAGCCACCATACAGACCAAAATGCCAAAAGCAATTAGTACAACATGCACAGCAACACACACAGACAGAGTGTTCTCCAGGGTACTTTTATGTGAGTGTAGCCATTATGCTGGGAGAGCCCCCTTCCCTTTTGCAAATTTTCCCTGCTCCTGGAAATGAGAAAGAGGGAAACACAAGTCCTACTGCTGGACTCCTACTGCCCAGCTCTGTCCTGGCAGAGCTGAGAGGTCACCCACGGGAAAGGAATAAACAAAGTAGTAAATTCCATACTACAGGAAGTATCAGCTTCATGACTTATCCCTTTCCTCCAGGGGAGCTGGGATGAGGACAAATGCAAGCAACAAGCAACCTACTGGAACAAGTCCTCCAAAGATTAACATCAAGCAGCCGGTACCTTCCCTCCTTCCCTCCTGGGCTATGTAAGAGCTTAGGCATTTGCTCCCACAAATGACCACTCTGCTGTGCAAATATGTCAAAGCCAAGAGCAAGAGTCAGAAAGTAAAACCCAATTAGAAGAGCACTCTGAAGAAACACATCTAAGTAATGATGCAAAACTTGTGCTGGTTCTTCCACTAACAAAACAGCTAAATAATCATGGGGTGGGGGGGTGGGGGTGGGGGAACAAAACATCTGCCTTGTATTGCAGGGCTAAGCAGCATCTCTGCAGTTACAAATCGTATTGCAGTGCTAAGCAGTGATGGATGGACCTGGATTCTTGCAGAGGTTGCATTTAGTCACCTACCAAAATCCCCTTTGCATCAGCACCACAAGTCACCACAAATCTTCCACTTCCTGATTCCTCAAAGCGGATCCCAAGCATTCCCCAGCCCCTGTTCCCTGGGGAGGCAGGGGCAGGCAGGAGTGGGGGTTTACACTGTGCTGGCAGTGACACTGTCATCAGGATGCAGGGAATCGACCCGTTGTCATCGTGCACAGAGAAAAAAGACAATTTTTTTGTGTGTCTCAGGGCACTTATTATTTTACTGTGCTGAAATACAATGCCCCTTTTTCATCGGGTGAATAATTGACAAATGCATTATTTCCCCCTTCACTGCCTCAGAGCTGGAATGAGTTAAAGTAGGCCTGAAATAAATCCTCTTAAGCTGTTATGACCCCACTACTTCTACTGCTAAACTTCAAGTGATTAACATGCCTGGTACTTAAAGGCAAATGATGAGCAAAACACTGTTTGTTTGCCCAGTAGCAAATACCTTGACACACAGGAAAGCAGCACAGCCTCTGTAGGTACCTGCTCTGCCTGGCGCATGTAAAAGCAAATATTCACAGTTATAAACAGAGCACTGAAATTTCCATTGGAAGATCCATCTACAACCTACCTCATCTTTCCCCACCAGAAGGTTTTGTTTTTTGCTATAATATTAGTGATGTTTAATAATTAGGGACGTCCAGATTCTTTCTTTAAATTAAAAACCCAACCTCCTAGAACACAAATGTGTTTTTTTAACAATAAGCCCAAAGTGAAACAGACAAAACAATAAACAATAAATTAAAAACCAACTTTCCCATCTCACATTGCTCAGAAAAAATGTCACATTTAGGAGCTTGGGAGAGATCTTAAGTAATGTGACAGAAAAACCTCCCTGCAGAGTGGACTGAAGAGACTGGTGACAACTTGGGTTTTGTCTATACCATTATGTATCACATTTCTTTCTGCAGGAGGATTGGTGACATAAGAGCTTTCACAAAAACACATGGGGATTTTCAGAAATCTGACCACCACCAGCATTTGGTGGTGTGCCCTTGGCAGTGGAAGGGGAAGAAGAGCTTCTCCACTCACTGCACAGTCAGGATTTACAAAGGCTGCATCAAGCTTAGAGCCCTCAGACTGCCAAGTGAAAACAGAGGCAAGAAGGAATTGCAACCAACCAGACCTTCACAGCACAGGTGCTTCCTCTGCCCCACCACGTGGGTCTTGCTAATCCTCCAGTCCCATGACATGGGAAGGTTTTTTTTCCGCTGGCCTGAAACACACCTTGGAAAACGGGACCCAACACGGAGTGGTTGGAGTGGGAAAGCACAGGCACTGTGCTCTCATATGACCTGCCACAGCCTATGGGAATCACCCTGTGCACCAGAGCACGAAGAGTGACTCGAGTGTTTAATGTCCACATTGTTGCTGCTTGGCTTTTCTGTGCTTCAGAAACAGGTGAGGAATGCCTCTGACCTGAGACACCTCAGTGCTGCTATCACAGATGACAAAAACGTTATGAAGCTACATCTGAGGGGAAAAATTAAAAAAAAAAAACAGAACAAAACAAACAAACATATTTTTCCACGGTTTTTAGTTTATGCTCCTGGTTTCAGATGAAACTTCTATTTCTGCCTATAACCACCTTTGTTGATACTGAAAAGGATCTTTCCTTACATGTCACGTTCTTAATAGCCAAAAAATCCCTCGGGGTTTATTGGGAGTTGGGTTGCCAAATGTTTTAGGATTGCTGTAAAGTACAGAGGGGAAATATAAATAGACTAAAACACAAGAAGAATAATGTTTGCTCGCTCAGGCTTTCAGCACAGACCAAGGACAACAGAATTCTACAAAAGAGAGGCAGAGGAAAAGGGAAACACAAATAGGCCTTGAGAAGTTGCCAGTCCAAAACCAGCCACATTCACATGGACCATGAAGAAACCCTACACGAACCCGAACCCCTCCTGCTTCCCCACAGCAGCAGCAGAGCAGGGACATCCCATCTCCCCTCACACCGACCCCCAGGTTACCTGTGTCATCAAACACAATGGGCTGGCAGTTCCTGTTGGAGTTCCAGTTGCATTTGAGCACCTGCCCTCCTTCCACAATGTTCTGCTGGGTGGTGTTTGCTTTTGGAGCTCCCACCAGGAGATACGTCCTGCAGCGAAGAGAAGAAATGAAACAAGGGTTTCGACAACTAAGGCACAGATGTTGTTACTTTATGGCATCTGAAGAGCTAATAAAGCAAAAGCCTTGCCCACTCAAATACCAATCTGACTAGAACCACTCTGAGTTTCAGAGAAATTCATAGGAGGTCTTGGGTCCTTAAGCAGGCAAAAAAAAAAAAAAAACAACAAACAAACCAAACCAAAACAAAAAACCAAAAAACCAAAAACCAAAAACAAAAAAAACACCAGAAACGTTTACCATAAAGAAGAGACAAAGAAGATAGAGAAAATTAAATGGTACTGTGCTATTTAAAATGATATCTGAAATTAAACAAACACCTTTTATATTCTTTTTTTCCTTTTTTAAAACAAACAAACAAACAAACAAACAAAAACACAACCCCAACCCCGTGGATGCAGCAGAACAGGAAACCACGTACTCCTGTAATGTACGAAAGCCATCAGTTGACACAATTTCTGGTTAATTTTGTGCGTAAGGGTAGTTCAAGGAAGTCAGTCAGAAATGGAAGCATGGTCTAAACAAAAGCAGTAGAGCACTCTGAGCTCAGCATGTCCTCAATGTGATGACTCAGCCTCCTGTGAGAGAGCGCTCTCGTAAAAACAACCCCCGAGCACCCAAGCGACCGCCAGCCACGGGTTTGCATGCTAATGAGCCGCTACTGAAATTCATTACACAGCCATCAGTTTCTCGTTAGGATCAGCTGCGCTTTTCTACATCCCTGCTCACACGGGCAGGCTCAGCGCATCCCGAGTGCGAACTGCCGGGAGACCGAGCCTATTCGGCTCGGTGGCAAAATTCCGAAGCTGCAAAGTCAGAACCGGACCAAACGAGGTTCCTGGTGTCTTCTAAAAATCTTCCAGGAACCACAGGACCTCTGAGACGCACTTCACTCATCAGCACTTCCTTGAGGAAGTAAATTTGAGGCATATAAGTGTATATAGAGCACATAAAAATCAAATGCTTCCTTTCATGAGAATCTATCTGCTCCTTGCTTCCCCTCAGAGTGCCTAAGAGAGGATCCAGCTTGCAAGAGCAAGTCTTATCAGGCACTGTGGTTCTTTAGTTTTGAAATTGGTTAAACTGAACAAGCTGCAGGACTGGTTGGAGAGGATGTCGACAGGCAAGCAAATCCAGGCTTATCAAACTTGCTTTGGTTTCACAATCATCTCCAGGCTTGGAGATGGAAAGAGCTCCAAGCTCTTTTTGGTACAGAGCTGAGTTTATGTTTCTTAACGTGTAAACAGCAGGTATAAACATGTAGCACCTCATCAGAGCTCAATTCATACGAAGACCAACACAAGCTACTAGTTTTCAACGTGTGAATTTTCAGAACCCTAAAAATTTCCTCGTGTGGACCCTGATAGAAAATCCAGGCTCGTTGGCAACCCATTTGATTTCCTTAGTTGCCATTCAGAGACTGTCTAGATTTCAAGGACAGGAATTTGGAGCACTTTAATCGACTTAAAATGTTCTCTCCGGGCTTAAAAATAAACACCATAATGCCAATCAAAGAAACACATCAATTATTATAATTACAATCCATTAAACAAGCTAGCAAGCTCGCCCCCTGTTTTACTCTTGCACCACGAGCTTTTGAACCACTCCCCAGACACACCACCACCACTCTGACTCCTGGAACAGGGCTTCCATCCCGGACTTCTAAATATGCTTTAGTTTGGCATCCAGCAGGTCAAAATAGACCATGAAACAGCAGCTTGAGCATTCAAGAACTAATGACATACCTTCGTTGTCAGGCTAGTCAATCCAAACAGCTTTGGCTCGACTGTACTGACTTGGTCTTTCATACTCATGTAACGGACAGGTGATAAAAACTCAGCAGCGCAAGAAGAAAGGCATAGCTTAGCAAGTACAAACAAACTTTCAGTGACAACAAAAAAGCTGAGGAGGAAATTCCCTTGCAAATATGCAGCAGTCCACCGTGCTGCCTGAAAGCCTCACTGTTCTCTTTTATAGCAGTGCACTTCTAGGTCAGTAGTTCTTATAAAAATAATGGAAAGCTTCCAAATAGTGATTTCATAGAGACCTGGGTCACATAATTCCTTATCAGAAAGCGAGGAAGAAAATTTACTACTGGTATTTACCAGTCTCTTGATAACTCTGCAGCCACACATGCTGACTTAAAAATACAGGGAGGGACAAAAATAGAAACTTTTTTCTTTTAGCACGAAGACTTACAGGTTAAGATAGCACAGAAAGATGGTGCAAGTTAAGACAGGACAGCTTCTGATATATGCGGGTATTAATGCAATGCAAACAAAGCTAGATGATGTACTGCAAAAAGACTTGCTCAATACTTAGAGAATTCGATTATGAACTAAAGATTAAGAGGGAGAGAGAACATCCCCTCAGCACGACAAAAGCCAGCAGCTTTTCTAGTTTTACAGCCCTTTCATGAGGCTGGAAAGGAGTGGGGGAAAAGTGGCAAGAGCTGGACGTTACTGTATTCCCGCACTTGAGAACCACAGTCTGATTCATTCTGGCAACACGAGGATTCAAAGGTCTGAGACGCGCCAGCTACTACACGCTGCCTAATCTTTGACGTGAAACAGGAACATATGCAGGAAGCAGATGTGGAAGGTGCTTACATGCAACTTTTGGTTCCCCTTGCTGCCTCCTCAGCAGCTCAGTGACCCGCACAGCTCGAACACGGCACTACCGCAAAGCGCACTCAAACCAGAGAACGGCAGAACTCCCGAAATGCCACCTTACGAAGCAAAATCCCATAACCTTCATCTTCCTACGCCGTATTAACTATTACCACCCTCCGCACGAGAGCAGGCTATGCAGAGCATCCCGCTGCTCCGAAGCCCGGGACTGGGTCTGGCTCCCTAGAAAGTGGGTCTGGGCATCCAGAGCATCCCCGGGGAATGAAAGGATGCGGACCCGTCCCTGCTGGGCAGCGCCGGGGAGGGGCGCGGCTCCCTCCGAGTGCCGGGGGGCCCGAGCAAAGGCTCCGGCCGCTCCCGGCCCGGCTGGACCAGCGGCATCGGGACTGCACCGGCCGCCGCATCGCCCTCCCCTCCCCATCCTCGGCCAGCACAGCACCGCCCCGGCTCCAGCGGCTCGGCGGGGCAGCAGCGGGGACGGGCACTTACGAAGACGGGTCGGGAGCGAAGAAGTCCACGGCGAAGCCGAAGAAGCTGCCCGCCGGGCCCGAGTAGACGGTCGGGCGCTCCACGTCCAGGTTGAAGGCACCAGTGGGGCGCAGCGCGGCGCCCAGCACAACCAGCAGGATCCGCATCGCCTCCGGCAGGAGCAGCATCGCCCGCAGCCGCGCCATGGCCCGGTCCCGCTGCTCCGGGCGCGGCTCCGCCGGGACGGGAGGGGATGGGATGGGACGCGGCGGCCCCGGCCGAGGGGGCGGAGGGGCCGTGTTTCCCGCGGCGGGGCGGGGACAGGGACGGCAGGGAGCGCAGCCACTTCCCCTTTCGGCTCGGGACGGGCCAGCAGGAAGGAGAGACGGCATCATGTGGTGCCGGGGGCGGGCTCTGCTCCGCTCCGAGCCCGGCCCGCCGCTCTTTCCGCCCGCAGCCGGGGAGGCATGGCCCTGCCCCGCCGGGAACCCCGGCATCACCCTGCCCCAGCCCAAGGGAATCCTGCTCCTGGCGGGTGTTGAGGAGCTGGCACAGGTTGCCCAGAGAAGCTGTGGCTGTTCCCACCCCTGGCAGTGCCCAAGGCCAGGTTGGATGGAGCTCTGAGCAACCTGGGATAGTTGAAGGTGTCCCTGCCCACGGCAGGGGGGCTGGAAATAGGCGATCTTCAAGGTCCCTTCTAACTCGCAGACTATTCTGCGAGTCTGTGAAGTAGCGCTAGAAATAAGAAGAGCGGGACACATCCGTGCCTGATCTCACTAGGTCTTTCTGCTAAAGCCTTTCTGAACAAGGCTGGGAGATGGTCTTTAAGGAAAGCTGTTAACACAAACACAGAGTGAAGCAAGCGCCAGTGGGGACCCAGGCATGGAGCGGAAAAAAAACCCCAAACCAACAAACCAAAACATAATTTCAAGCACATAGGGTATTAGACGAAGTCATTTTAAATGCCAGGGTCACAGCTCCCCAGCAACAGGGGATGCCCAGCAGCAGGTGCAGAGCTGAGTCTGTAAATCCCCCCTGAGGGGGATCCTGGCTCCTGTTCCTGCCCACCTGGGGAAGCAGTATCCGGTGCAGCCTCAATCTCTGCAGTCGCAGTCTGTAGACCTCGGATCATCTGTCACCGACAGCGTTCCAGCACTATCAGCACAGCCCGGGCAGCTGGAGGCTGCCATCAAACCCATCCTCGGCCAGCACGAGTTCAACATCTGCTCGGCCCAGCAGTGTTTTGGGTAAAAGAAAACATGCTGGAGAACCTATAAAGTGGAAATGGTTCATATTAATTTGGAATATTAATTTGTATATCATAACAGCATTGTACTTTTATCACCTCTCCCCTATTGCCACAAAAAGGTTGCTTTTTTTTTTTCTGCATGAACAAAAGGAACAATAAACAGTGATATTTTTCGAGTCCTAAATATTAGTTCAGAATATCCCACACGTATTTACCAAGGGATAGATTTGGTGTTACAGGAGTCCTGAAAGAAAAACACTTATGCAATAAGCATAAGAAGATCCACACAGTAATCCAAGAAAAAGTCTCAGAAAGCATGTGCTCAGGCCTCTAACAGAGAGGATTAATTGTAGCACAGTAGCTGCATCAGGAAGGTGAAACCCCTCCCTTAAGTGGCTTGTGTAAAGAATGGAAGTTACACCAGTTAGAGTTACACCAGTTACTCCCTAAAATGCTGGTGTAACTCCCACACACTCTTTGGAACCAGATACAGGAACCACTGGCAAAGTTTAGGACCGAGATTCTAAAGAGATAATTTTACTTTAAAATCTGTGAAATTGGCTGCAAGTAGACTTTTACAGGCTCAGTTCTAAAAAGACCAGAAGCATCAGGCAGAGCCAACGAGAGTCAGAGTGACCAAAATTAGAAACCACTTACTGAGAATGCTTTCAGTGGAGAGCAATCATCATGGCAGAAAAGGATTAAAACAAACAGGAATAATGGTAGGCCACTTGCAATCCTGTGTTCCACTCACTTGTTCTTCCCATTAATTGATAATAATTCCTTCAGGGAGCCAAATGAAAAATTATTTATTATCAAGAAATGGAGGAGAGTTCCTATACCTGGACTTGATACTTGTTACTAATTTTCATAAATTTGTGGCCTCCTTATAAGTAAAAAAAGAAACATTACCAAAGACTTTTATTGTTATTTACTGACTTCTCCCACAGCTTTGGTACTACAGACCCGATCAAAGCATATGGGTTAATAAGTTCCCAAACTGTAGCAAAGAGGGCAATAAAAGAGAAAAGAAAAGAGAAGCTTGAGAAAGTAGCTTAGGGAAAGGGAGGATTTGTTTGCTCTGCTTGTCTGTAGAACTCCACAGTGTTACGCAAGCAGCAAAGGATAAGTTAGTTTTAAGATATTAGAATTTTTTTACCATATGATAAATTTTTCCCCCAGCCTCAATAGGTGGGAATTTTTGTCTGTATTCAGTTCTAAACACAATTATTTTGGAATCTTTTGGCATTTAAAGAACTGCTTTCCATCGTTTAGCAGATGAAACTAATATTTCTGTTACAACTTCCTACTCTTGCTGGTTTTACTCATCAAGTGAGTGGTCTTGTTAGTTTTTAACTCATCCAATAAGTTATTAACACAGATGAATAAAACTTTGCAAGATGCAAAGCACCTTTGGTGAGCAGGTATTATTTTTTTTTCCTGTTCCCGAGTGTCCAATGTGGATCAGGTATTTCAGGACATTTTCCCTTTGCAATAACGTGTCTTCATCACAGCATTACACTCAACAGCAAGGGGTGGACAAAGTGCTACAATTCAGCAAAAACTGCAGATGTGCAAACCACAGTGGTCCTACTGGAAAAGCCTCAGCAAGAGGAAGTGAGTCGTGCCAGGGCTGGTTTCTGATCTGCTCAGTGCTGATATCGGTGTTACTCCAGGGTTAGTCAACGTCTGCCCACCACCCCCTTCTTTCCTTTTATAGGACACTCCTCACTCACCAGACCTTTCTGTGACATCAGCATTCCACAGCATCAAGTGCTCCATGTACCAAAGGATTCATATTCCTTCAGTCAGAAGAAGTTTTGTCATTCTAACTCAGATATGTGACTCATTTTTTTGCTTCACAAAGCACTTCAGCAGACAAACAGTAATGCCCCCCCCCCCCCAAGGCTTAAATATTTTTAAAAGATATTTTTAAACAATGTTATCACTCTGGAGAAAAGGATTGACAGGAAATAACATAATAAGGGAGAAACAGATCAGAGAAAAAAACAAAACAAAAAAGAAACCTGAGCTCTGTAATATTCTCTGCACAATCTCAGTGAACATGAACACATCACCCCACAGGGAAAAGCCTGGGAAGTCACCACACCTAGCCCAGAACCAGCCCAGTGATGGAGCTCCCAGGACACAGGCAGGGAGAGATGGGGATACGAGCCTTCTGCTGGGAAATGACTCAGGAGGCTTTTCAGACGGGGCTGGTGAGAATTTGCTCATCTGGAGAGTGCAGACTTGGTTTTCCTGCTTCTAGAGTGGGAAAAGAGATGTTGCATCTGAGTATCTTCCCTAAGAACCTTTCCCTTCTTTTGCCTGCTACTGTTTCCCCAACAGTTCCAAGTACTGTCCTCTCTGCTGAGACCATCAACCACAGCAAGTGTGTCCACAACCCACACTCACAGAGGTTTCATTTAGAAAGTGGAAGTGACCGTTTCTGGCAGAAATGCTTGTGGACCAGTATTCTGCTGGGGCAAAGAGAAACAGAGCCTTTCCCTGCTGACACCATCTCCAGGCACTGAACACAGGGGTCACTTGCTAGTTTATTCCCATTCATGGAGAATTTCCAGATGACAAGAGGAATTTTTTTTTTAGTTTTCCTACATTCTTGCCTGCTTCTGGTTACACAGAAACACCAGGGACCAATGCTTCCTGTCATATTCCTGAGCTACTGCCACCCCTGTCTTCAGTGCAAATAACCTGCTATTTAGTA